AACTTTTTGCGCGCTGCGAAACGGATTCTATAAACTCGATCGGCGAGGAGTAAGAACCGTGTGAAAATTTATTGACTCGTCCAACGGATTTTTACGGTGCTTTTCGCGATTGCGTCTGAAAAGTCGCGAAAATGTGGGATTATCGATATCTACGAGTGAAATATTCGCGACGCGAATGCACGCGAGGAAAGATTAGACAATCAGAAACCGGTCCCCCTTAGGGAGCGCAAAGAGAGAGGAGCGGGCAAAGTTTTCACGCATTATAGCTCTGTCACGACGAAGCTTACGTTCGCGATACTTTGGCGAAATGAGAATTAAATTTTCTTTGTTAGCAACGCGAGTAAAAATGCGTATATTGACAACCGCGGTCGCGATATTCAAAGGCACGCGAGCGAGGATACCTCAAGCTCGGTGTGCGCTGGCGCAATTTCTACGCGCATTATACGCTACTCGAGACAATAGGGATTGTGATGAATGGACAATATTGCCAAATAATTCTACAGCCTGTTTTGCAAATAAAAGAAAAGTAGCTAACGATATCGGCATTTAGGTATGAATATATTTTATACGGACAATTGAATATTGTCAAATAATTAAATCGTTAAGTAATTCTGCGGCCCGCTTGAAAAATAAAAATAAAGCAGCTGATGTCGGTGTCGCGTTTGTACATATGAATATTCTCTTATTCAGATGACTGAACATCAAAAGAGAATCATTCAGTATTTTAAATCTTATATGTAATGCAGGCTATCGATCAAGTAATCCCTTGATTGTTTCGAGCAATGTATTTTATTCAACGTCACAAATACACACATGCAAGTATCTATTTGCAATTCGCATTGACTCGAACGATATTTTTTAGTCCCACATCCGTCATGCAGAATTTTGTTTCTCTTTTCATTTTGACTCACCGAAACGACTTGCAGTCAGAGCCGGCCACGTTCCGCTTCAACTCTGTAACAAAAAATTCATATTTGCTCATCAGATTTGACCAAAGAGTGCGGGCGAGTAAAAGAGTAGTTTACCCTCTGCGATCGTAATTCAAGTCGAGCCGGAAATTATATCCCAGCTCTAGATCGCCAAGGGTCAAACAGAGGACTATAGTAAACTTGTAAACTTACCTTCAAGCCGACTCTGCTTCGCCCGAACCGGATCCTCCGGTGCGGCATCCGCGTCCACCGGATTGCTGTTGCTTTCCGCAACAACTGAAACAGAAAAATAATTTTCCCGGTTGATAACCTGCGGTAGAGAGAGAATATCTTTGATCGGGACCAATCGAAAATACGGATATATTTTGATACGGAATTTTTATCTTTATATTTTTGTTCCAACATTGAAAATTTAAATGGGACTTGAAGCTTTCAAGAGAGCTGATGAGGAACAAGTTACAAAGGCAAAGATCGTAAAGAGTTGAACACAGATGTGTAGGAAACTTGTAAACTTTACCTTCCGGCCGACCCTGCTCTGCCCGAACCGGATCCTCCGGTGCGGCATCCGCGTCTGCCGGACTTGCTTCCCGCAACGTCTGGAACAAAAATTTAGCGTTCTTGGTTGGTAAGCTGCGGTAGAGAAAAAATGGTTGGTCGGGATGAGTGGAGAATATTCGTTACGATTTTTTTTCTTTATTGACATTGAATGTCTAGATAGGAGCTCTTGAAAGAGCTGACGAAAGAAAATGACAATAAGAAGCGGAGACAACAGTTGTGTGCTCTCGATAATATTCTTTTACGGATGGACATTTAAATTCAGATCCCGTAACAAGAGTAAACAAACTTGAAAGAAGCGCTGACCGAAAACAAAAAAGGTCGCAGTCTAAGAAGCGATATGATGTTGAATATTCTACACAAGACCAATATTATCACACAGGAATTGGGAATGATTCAGAATGTTTGATTGAGAACATGATGAATTCGAGATCCACGTCCATGGACCGTTATCCGTCTCTGTCTGGATCAATATCTTTTGTATACAACAACGCAATAAATAGATAGACAGACAGAGATTGACGAGAGTAATTGCAAATTCATAAAGTAATGATTACTAGTCGGATGATGACGGATTGTGAATGCCGAGCGCGAAATTCCGACTTCTTATTCCCGGAAAATTCGTCAAACGTACGCTCTCGTTATCGGAGACCTCCCGCGTAATAAATGATTCCACATACCTGGAAACGTGACGTATCGCTGCCGGCGTTCTGCTTCTCGACTGCTGAAGTCCTCCGGATTTCACTCGCTCACGCTTCTAATGCTGATACTCGCGATTCGACCGTGCAGTTAATGAATGAGATGCCGACGCGATGCCGATTGAGTATCTCGAGGACCGACGAGATATATTTCTTTTAACTACACGAGACGGAAGTGACGAGAGCGTCGCGCACAGCTGCTGCTGATGGAATGAGGTCGAATACATGAGGTGCGCGAGTATTATAATACAAAGGGCAAAAAGTGTCGTCGCTCGCGAGCCGATCAACACAATCGGCGCGATGTAAACATTGCGAGCCTCGGCGGCGGTTGAAGCAAGAGAGACTTGCCTTTGAGAGTCTCTTGTTTTCTCGAAGGTTTCGGAACGACGAGGGGAATGCGAGGAGGCCTTTCAACTGTACGCGACATTGATGCACTCTATTTATTGATTACTGAAAATAAAGAAAATTACTCTGTCGAAGCATCGGACATTTGTTAGCTTTATGTTAATTAAAGAGGAATGTATACGATTAGAAAATGTGTCAGCAACTAATTGTACAGAGTGTAAGTTGTTGTGACGTCGTTTTCAGAGAATAATTAAAGGTCATGGTAGCGTTAAAAAATGGAATTTCATCCTATGCGAATTTAGTCGCGCTCTTATTAAATATTAGTCCTGTATAAAATGTCATATTTAAAAGTATTGTTTCGCATTCACGAGATTTTGTCGTGAATTCTGCTCTCAGATTGGATCGCGGGTGAATACTTTTTAATGCGACGGGGAATAGAACGTGAAAATCTTGTATACCTCTGAATCCGAAAACGATTAGGAGAAGAAGTGAATATTTTTCAATACGAAAGTTTGCATTTAAAAATTATCGATTGCGATTGAATACAAGGCATATTTGAAACGAATTGAATCCTTGTTAATGCGAAACATTTACTACTGCCATCTCGCATTTAGCGCGGTGAAATTTAATGGGAACTAATACTTTTTATTTTCCCTTTCTTCGGATCAGAAAGCAGAATTCAGACGTATTCAAAATGTCAATACTTTTTAATATGTTTCAGTTCGACATTTTATACAGGGAGATTATCCGCTGCGGACAATAACTCTTCTACTTTTCATTTAATATTCAATGATGATAAATAACATTTAATTGCATTCGTTTGGCTTTTTTTATTTCGGAAATAAGAAAATATATACCGGGGTGAGATTTTACCCATGACAACATTAACGTGATTTTCTTTGATGCTTTTTTTAAAAGTTCAAATATTTCGTCGACTCGCGGGATATTTATAATCGAAGTCTCGTCACGTTAATTACGTGAATAACACGTGCTCCTCCGAGCGGATCGAATGCTCACCGACGGCTACTGTCAGTGCCACGAGCGAATGTCCGGAGCGGACGGGATGCTGAATTAAAAAACAAGACGAAGTGAACGGGACGCGGACAACGATACATCATGCGTCTCCATACATGCCAAATTGTTTATTATAGAAGAGACTTTGATACGGCAATATATATTCGAAGATTTAACATTTAATACGTACTTTTTTTTTCTGCTCCTCCCCCCTCTCCCCCGCTCTTTTTAGGCCATAGTCTGGCATAGAGATGGCAACTGTCATTGCAGCACGGACATAAACCGCCTGAAAGTGGATGTAGCATGGACTTCCACCATATGCAGATTTTACCACCGAGACCTGAAAGTGGATGTACTATTGTAGTTCCCCTCTCAAAATGGATGCAGATGGCGTCCTTTCCCAGTGCGGAAAGTCGGTGTCGCAGAAAATGTCGTATTGGCCGCTCTCAGGTTACTCTCTGGCAAAAGTCTGTGCTCTGGCCCTATCTCTGTTTAACATGCGTCTTGGTGGGGGAAGTCGAAGAGGAGGACAGTTACACAAAGGTTATGGTTCGCAAATTAATTGACCTTGCTAAGTTTAAACTCTGATTGCTTTAATCACTGTTACGACTTATCTGAAAAATAGAATAGGACAGAGAAACGCTTCGAAGCATTTGTAGCGGTCGCTGGACCGCACCCGACATTACCTTTCCCCTTGTGTCGTTTTCTCTCGTCTCCTAATACAGAGCGAGAGAGAGAGAGAGAGAGCCTCACTCACGCAATAGCTCTGTCCTCTACTGTAGTCTTCAGCGCGCCCATAAGGATGCGCAGTCTATCTATATAAGTCTATGCATTGAACCTATTAGTCTGTTCTTTTTAGCTGCACTACTGAACTGGTGCAATAAGTTAAAGTGAGAAAAAATATAGTTGTCTCATCCTAACTTATTGCACTAGTTCTGCAGTGCAGCTGAAAAGAACAGACCATATGTGTATAATGAAACGCGTATATGTGAATATTTGTTTGCATAAAGTTTAGGAGGATGAATTTTTATTGCAAATATATTTTTATCAAAACAACTTGTTACATTTGATTGATATCATTCATAATTTATATATTTATCTTTTATAACATAAACACTTTGCAAATTATATATACCAAGTCAAAATATACAGTATTGATATACATATGTTTTAATATAATAAACCACTTTGACACAATTCCACTTAGGGATCTATATAGTAGATATAAAATGTTAGCAAAATAAAAATCAGAATTAGCAAATTATTTTATTACAACCATCCATCATTAATAATACAAAGTATGTGGAAGTCAACAAATATATTTGAACTTATCAACTTAAATAAAAAAGGAATTAACAAATATTATTATTAGTATATGTAATCGTGTATCTTATATATTTTATGTTCAAAAACCAAAAATTAAGAAAAAACTAGAAAAATTAGAAAGGAGTTGATAAATTAGACATTAGAAAATTTTACTTAATCTTTTTAAATATCACAGAGAATGAACTTTACATTATTATTGTACAATCAACTTCAATACTGCTGTGATTTATTGCATGTTTGTGGAAGAATTTTGAATGCACCATATAAAATGCTAATAAGAAACAAAAAGAAATAAATAAAAGAATTTTATAAAAAGCAGAGACCACCTGCTTTACAAAACTTTCATATGTTCTACAATATCTGAGCCTAATACAAAATAATCTTATGTCTAAAGCGCATATTATAATATATATATTATAAATATTAATTATATACAATATATGCACATACACATGTGCGTATACATCTTACACATGTTTCGAGTTTTAATATAAGGCCATTTGATAGAAATTTTCTTGTAACTGTAAAAATAGTTTTGCGATCTACAGTAGTTAAAAATTCACTTAGTGTAATTATAACAACAGTACTAAATGAATCTTTTCTAATGTACTATAAATTTCGAATGTATGTTAACGTGAATTAATGTGAAACCAAGTAAAACTCTATATAAGAAAAATATATCATGTAAGACAATTATGTTTATACAGTTAGATATAAAATATAAGCGTTACATACTCGTTTACATACAACGTTTCATCTCTATATAACAATGTTTCCCAGGAACAATGAAATTTAACTGAAAGAATTTACTAATATTTGTAAGAAATTGAAGGAAATGGATGAAATAGATAAATATAAATTTGAATAACATACAATATTTAGGAATGTATCCTATGGATAAAGTATTTGAATTAAGTAACTCGGTTACTAATGACGGAAAACCATTCCTTTCATAAGATCGGATATATCTCGAGGACGATAGAGTAAAGAGAAGGATAATGCTCTTTTCAAACTCTACATCTGTGGCAACTGATCAATGGGCGTGGCGAATTTGAAGTCTTCAGGGAAAAGCTTGCACGCATGCGGATACATTAACTTATACGACTGCCGAATTGTGACATCTGCGACACCAGCGATATCGCCGATCTCCTTCTGCGACCTCTTATCTTCCGATGCCTGAGTAAAAATGAAAAGTTACAGGATATAATGCATGCTATCATAAAATGCAGCATTGTAGATTGTCACATTAATATGCTGTACATACTTGGGAAGCCATATATATAGCAGCAGCAGCGACTGAAATGGGTGATCTGCCCGGTACAATGTCGATCTCCACTGCTTTCCTGGCGATATGTGTTGCAGCTCGCTGTACCATATTTGGTAGTCCGAGATTGGAGCAAAATCTGGACATGAAGTCACCAGTAGTGATAAGGTCCACACTGGTCTCAAGTGCCTTAAGAATTAACTTGAAGCACCGACCAATCTCCTTCTTGCTGATTTTGCTGACAGCACAAATTTCTTTGAAAGTACGTGGTACTCCCTCCTGTCTACATGCAATGTACAAACAGGCCGATGCAATTGCGTCGTTCGCACGACCCTTCAAATTCTTGCCATCGTGCACTTGTTTGAAAAGTGTATTGGCTCTGTCCACAATGGTTTTAGGTAAATTAATACGATCTGCCATACCATTGATTTCACGAAACGCATTCACCAGAGCTCTATCAGAACTACTCATCTGAAAGGAAAAATATAATGCATCTACATGAGTATTTATAAGTTATAGAATATATTAAAAAAGAAAATATAATAATACTAACTGTACGACGATTTTGATATTTAGCAGTACCAAAACCATCAAAAGATGCAGCTCCAGTCCCTGGCCCAATCATTGTGGATAAGTCTGAACCACTCAGAAGTGGATTTTCTGGGCCACCAACACGTGATGGATCTACTCCTGATTTCTCATTGCTAAATGTTCTCCATTCTGAACCTACATCTATTACTCTACAATAAATAAAAATGTAACTATACAAGTATTAAATCAATTGTAATTAATTGTGTATATATATATATCTCTACTCCAGATATTTTTACCTATCACCAACAACTAGTCCACATTCTGAACAAATTTGATCACCAGCTCTATAGTCTTCTATGAGTGGAGCATCTGGATGTGCATAACAGCAAACTTTGTTTGTATAATGTCTGTAAGATACAAAAAGAATATTTTGTATTAGTTGAAATTAATTTTAAGTTAAAACAATTTAACTTGCAAATAGAATTCCTATATTTTCGCAAATATCAAAAAGAATATATTTTCTTGTTCTAATTCCATAACTATAAATATGAATGTATTATTTATGTATATATACATGAACCTCATTATGCTTCTCGGTTTTTGTTTAGAAATTTCCAATTCAAATATATTATACTTAGACAATCATGCATGATTGTTGACTAACGCGGGTTCTTTTTATTTAATCATTTACATTAATAAAGTACATGCATCTAAAAATGATGCATTCAGTTTGAGAATATTCTACTTAAAATTGCAAGATATTAATAATGCCTAATGCATTATAACTTCACGATTATCAAGAACTCTGTGATTACAAGAAGATTTATTTCATGGATTTATTCTCTTCTCGCTATCGACTTATTTATACGTTAATTGAAAAAATACGTTCTATGTGATATAAATAAAATTCTACAAATTTTTTGTGATTTTAACCTTCACAAGTTATATCCACTGATAAATGCTTAAAGTGCTACACGCGATGTAAAAGTAATACTTTTAGTAACGAATTTTCTAAAACAATGTGAAAATTTCAACAATGTGGAACTTACCGTGACGAACTTGCCATTTTTTCGTACTTCCGTGATATCCAGTCCTACTCGATTTCACTTCTGACAACGATTGCAATGGACTGCAAATATATCGTGTATTATTCGCGTTGTATCGTTGATTAAATGCTACTATAGATTGCCGACTTGAATTTCGTATATACAGTTAATGGAGAAAAAGTTGCTTTTCTCCTCAATACGTTTCAGAACGTATCCTCCATTCGATAAGAAAATTAATTTTTTAAATAATTCTTAGAAAATATATTTTTATAATGGATGGATAAAAGTGTCACAATCTTTAATAATCAACTGTACATATGTTGTGTTCCGATATTCACTGCCAGCATTGAAATTCTATAGTATACATGACACAAATTATATATTTTCAGTACTGACAGTGAATTTCGGAACGCAGCCTATCACATACACAAAATATATATTTACAAAACACATGGCACGCAGGAGGTTGATTGGTTATCTGCGAACTGAAGTATGCAGATTTTGCCGAGTTCTGTTGTAAATTTTCTGTGACTGACGATAAATATTGAAGTGTAGTCTCTATTATAAAATATGTCTCCGGGTATTCCTATTTACAAATGACTTATAACGCATATCAAACATTCGATAATTAAATGTTTAATAAAGAAATTCCTCTGACAAGTGTGAGATTCTGTGAGAGATTTTGGCTGCGTTCCGATATTCACTGCCAGTATTGAAAATTTATAAAGCCAGCGGCACACGGTGCTTGTTTTCGTGCGTAGTTGCTTGCTGGATGAAAATACTGCGTTCTGATTGGTGCGTTTCCATCCATCTTCGGAAAAGTACCAATCAGAACGCAGTATTTTCATCCAGCAAGCAATCTAGCACGAAAACAAGCACCGTGTGCCGCTGGCTTTATATACATGACACAAGCTATATATTTTCAGTATTAGCAGTGAATTTCGGAACGCAGCCTGTAGTTAACAACTTTCTCGTTTCCAACGAACAAATTTTCCTATTGGATGCGGGATGCATAGATATGCCGCATATCAAGTGCAATGAAAATCATCCATTAGCCAGTAATCTCCTAGGAGTGCACAGTTGGCATGTAGTGACGAGCATTGACCGACCAATCGAGTACTCCGAAGGCGCTACAATCGTCGTTGCTGAACATATGGGCGACAAAGGGGCGAATTCTATCACGGTGTGACGGAGCATCGCGCTGGCCACAGTGTTCGGTAATCCTCGGTACAGTGTGGACAGGTCGAACAGTGCGTCATCAGTAATACGGTGTACGATCGGCAACGAATTATCCATCGGTGGCAGCGAAGGTGGTGGTGGTAGTGGTGGTGTGCGTGTATGTGCGCGCGCGAGAAAGAGAAAAGAGAGAGAGAGAGAGAGAGTGTACGTGTGTGTTGTGCGCGAGAGAGGAAGGAAGAAAGAAAGGAGGCAGCACGCAGTATTACGTGTTTTTGAGCCTCGTCCGTGTTGTGCTCGCCATGACGTTGCTCTGAAATCGTATCTCAATAATATCAATCCCGATGTTGGCCATAGGATTGCGCCAATGTGACTTTCATGCTTTTAACGAGGAGAGCATCCGGGGCGGCAATTCGTGGATACCGAAGAAAGCTTCAAACGCGTTTGAAGCTTTCGAGGTCGTATTCATGGAACTATGAACCTGGACTCGTTGTCTTTTACTTTGTCACAAATCAGTTATTTGGTTGCGAATTTGAGTAAGAGAAATTTTCGGGAGAGCTGTGAAGAGATATCGGTCGTAAGTATCGTATTCTCGTCGGGTCCCAGTAGACTCTATTTCTATGTTATATTCCACGACAATCCACACCTCTCACTCTCTCTCTCTTTCTTTCTCTCTCTCTCTCTCTCTCTCCCTCCTTCTCCCCCTCCCTCCCTGCCCCTATTCTTCCCCCCGCGCTTTTCGTCGAGCTTCGTCACCTTCTCCCGCCGATCCCTCTTGCATCGCGAATTCTCTCTTTGGCTCCTGGTTCGGCGTACCCAGCGGAGATACAGAACGCAATATGCTCATTTAGCGCGTCTCGCACGGGACTCGATTTTTTTCGTCGATCTTCCATCCATAACTTGAAACCGGACGTGCCCGCGAGGCGATGCACGCATCGCGTGCACACGCGCGCTACAAGGCGAGCTCGCACGTTGTAACACGCTTTATCACGCGCCATAGGAGGTATTTTCAAAACAGCATACCGATATCCGCTTCTCTCCTAACGTACAAATTTCGAATCGTGAGATACTTGCTCCGTACGAACACGATTGTCCTTGTCGTGTATTATTTACTCATGAACGTACCTTAACCTCATTGACTTAAGTTCATCCTTTGTTCTCGTTCCATGGTCGGTGGTTTCCCTTTCATGAAAACACTTTTCCCGCGCGCTTTTCTCGAGAATTCAGAATATTTTGTATTCTCATTGCTCTTTGGAAAATCCCTCATCCATAATATTCCATAGTAGATTATCTGTTATTGTCGTTAATAAGAATATAATAGTTGAGAATTGAAAGTTAAGCGATTGTATTAACAAAATGACGCTTTTCCCACAGCTGGTGCAGTGGACTGGTCTGGAGGCGGACCGACATTTGTTGCGCTGTTTGTTCTCGTACGTCGATTTTTCCAGCAGCGAGCGGTCAGAGTCCAACTCCAAGGATTACTTCCAAGCACAATTGTTGAAGCAGGAGTGTGTCACTTTACTGAGTAAACCGTCCTTGGTATCGAATTTGTGTTTTGCTATCGATCATCCTTTGCATCATCAGAAGGTATGTGTTCGATGTATTATTGTTTGAATACTTTTGAGGCTGCAATATATATTAATCATTCTGTTTACTTTCCAGTCATTGAATCCTTCCTCCAAGTTTTTTGCCAATTTAAAAAAGACACTTGGGTTGAGCTTGGTACAAGAGGTTGCTTTCGCAATCGCGCTATATCATTCGGAAAATACAGAAATCCGTGCACTAGCCTTAGAACATACTCAGAAGCAACTGCCTGAACTGATAAAAAACTACGTAAACTCTGAGACTAGCAACAAACACCACGAGGAAGGTCTGCACGATTCGTCGCCCGAGGTTCTTCACCTAATACTCAGTCAGGTTTTTCATACTACCAATCCATACAACCTTTTGGCCGAAGCTAAGGAAAAATTTCTCAAGAACTTACGACGCGATTTTCCCCGTGAACTGGTACCAGTGGTGCTAGCACCACTCTTGTATCCAGGAGACGGGGAAACTCCACAGTTCAAAATTGAGTTGAACATGGCGGTCAGTCAAATGGTAAAGTAACATTATTCATTATCAGTTAGTTTCTTTTCTTCTTTCTAAACTGTACACGAATCATATTTTTATCTTTCGTTTTGCAGGATGGCAACTCTCTAGCAGAGTTGATTATGGAATTAGGCTATAGTCTTACCATTAGCGTCGAAGAATGTCGATCTGCATTAGCAGGTTTAGGTGCTAGAGAAATAACACCAGCATGCGCTGCACGTGTGTTGGCGCATATGGCACGTACCTGTAGTAATCACGAAGACACAGGAGGAATACAATCTTTCTGGGGTAATTCGACTGCTACTCAGGATTCCAGTAAGGAGAAACCATCGGAGACTACTGCCCCAACAACATGGAACGTCGAAGTGTTTGTTCAGGCCTTAAAGGAGATAGTGAGTTTGTGACATTCGCGTATATATTTTCGAAGTCTGCAACTGCAACTAAATAATCATTATTAAATTTCAGCAAGCTACATTATCGTGGAACGAAGTTATCGTGAAATTGGACCATGCAGACTTTGTCATCAAAGATAGACAAGGTTTAAACTTACTGATTACAGCTTTAAAGTTGGGTCTTCAACATCAAGGATATCCACCTGATATGTTTCCCGTCGAGCTTTTTTATCGCCATTGGGACAACGTGGAGAGTCAGTTCTCTCTGATCCAGCAAATTCTGAAGTGCCCTGAAATATTCTGCTTCGCAGACTATCCATATCACTCGGTAACCGTAGACGTATTAAAGGCGGCGCCCGAAGGGGACAGTAAAGAGGCTCAAACGTGGAGATCGCTCAACATAGTGGAGTTGCTTTTGTACATGGCGGAAAGAGGATTGTATTCCCCGGTGCAGGATCTATTTAAATGGCCCATTCAGCATTGCCCGGACGTGCTCGTGTTGGCGTTACTGCAGATCAATCAACCGCTCACGATATTGAGACAAGATCTACTCAGCACGCTAATGCCCATTTTTCTGGGCAATCATCCTAACTCGGCCGTGATATTACATCACTCTTGGCATGCGAATAACTCCAAGATAAAGACAATTATTATGCACGCCATGGCTGATTGGTATACGCGCGGTGACCATGATCAAACGAGATTATCGCGCATCTTGGATGTCGCACAAGATCTCAAAGCGCTGTCGGCGCTATTGAACGCACAATCGTTCCCATTCGTCATCGATCTTGCGTGTCTGGCATCTCGGCGAGAATATCTGAAATTAGAAAAGTGGCTGTCGGATAAGATCAGAGACCATGGAGAAGTGTTTGTCAACGCATGCGTGAAGTTTCTCCAGAGACGTTGCCCGCAGGTTATGGGTGGCAGCATCAAAGAGGATTCTACAGTACCCAAAGCAAGCCAATTACCGCAGGAGACGCTTACTACGATACTCGCTTGTTTGCAAGTTTGTGCTGGGTATGTAACCTTTAGACTTATATAGTTCATTCATATTGCATGCCATAGCAATCCTCTTTCTCTTTTTCTCTCATCTAATCTTTTATTTTTAACATTGCAGAAACGTTTCCCAAGATTGCTCGGAGGCGATAGTGACGATGGTTCAAAACTGCAGTCTGATGATAAGTAAGAATGTAAACAGACAGCCTCCACCTGGAGTTTTGAGACATCGAGGATTGGAACAGTTTAATCCGGCCACTTTAGGCAGTCAGGTATTTTCCAGCTTACGCTTCTGTTTCCTTGCGCGCTCTCTTTCTCTTTATTTGTCGCTCTCGCTTCAGGATTTATCACGTTGCAATGCACAAGTTACGAATCGACGTTATCTTCTACAGATATTTTCCTCTAAGCAAGTGGATCCTTTGGGTAATTTAAGTTCGAGTCTCGCATCCATGGGTCTTGGTACTGGTATCGGACCACCAAGTACTTCCGCCTTCAACTTACCCGGCGCACTGGGGCCTCTAGTTTCAGCGCCTGGATCTCCTTCACAACTCATGGGACCTTCTCCAAGTCCCTTTCCGATGTTGCCTTTAACGTCGCAGTTACATTCGGGTCCAGTTGGCACTCAGGGCCCGTCTGTGCTACCCGGTGGTACGACCATCGGCGGATTAGGACGCCTTGCACCGCCAACTGGTATCGAGAAAACGAGGATTCAGGATGTCTCGAACTTATTTTCGGAAATGACACAACCGGTGGCCAAAGAAATTGAAGATGAAGCGAACAGCTATTTTCAACGGATATACAATCATCCGCCGCATCCGACCTTGTCGATCGACGAAGTACTAGATATGTTGAAGAAGTTTACATCATCTACCAATAGGAGAGAGAGGGAGGTGTTCCAGTGCATGATGCGGAATCTATTCGAAGAGTACAAATTTTTCCCACAATATCCCGAGAAAGAATTACAGATTACGGCCCAACTGTTCGGTGGGATCATCGAGCGTGGCATTATCGGTCATTACTTAACGCTCGGGATGTCATTGAGGTTCGTCTTGGAAGCGCTTAGGAAACCGGAAGGCAGCAAAATGTACTATTTCGGTATAACGGCTCTGGATCGCTTTAAGAATCGCTTGAAAGACTATGGAACGTATTGCGAACATGTCCGTAGTATTCCGCATTATAGCGAGTTCCCACCGCACTTAATGGAGTACATCGAGTATGGAGCAAGCCACCAAGAACCTCCAGCGAGATCACAAGGCTCCAAGACTGTCACGACTATGTTGGGGGCGCCAGTCACGACGTACAAGACTATGACTACGACTACTATTACAACTAGTATCACGCAGGCGAAACCATCTACGACGCCGACGACGTCTCTTTCAGCCAGAGTAAGTGTGATGAAGGACTTTGCTCCTCGCTTACATGATATGCATTCTGTTTCTGTGTACAAAGTATGATTTTTAATATCAAAGTTGATTGTCATATTCTTCAAATTTGTTTTGTAGTAATATTTTAATAAACAACAAACGACATCTGAGACTTTTTAAATGTCATTTAGGACGATGACATTGATAAAATGTATTAAAGTTGATTCATCCTAGATTCGAACATTAATATAAAGACTTACTAATGTTTTCAGCCTCTGAGCTAGTCGAACATGCGTGTAATATGCTATGATTATTTCCGTAGCCCTCCATTGCGACCGCAACTAACATCGATACTTTGCTTGTGGCAACTGACAAGGAGGAGAAGATCACGACACCGCCGGAAGCCTTGCAGGACAAAACGGCATTTATTTTCAATAATCTTAGCCAGTTGAATCTGCAGCAGAAATGTGACGAGCTTCGCGAGGTTGCCACGGAGGAATATTGGCCGTGGATGGCGCAGTACTTGGTGATGAAACGTGCTAGTATAGAACTGAACTTTCACGCTCTGTATTCGAATTTTCTTGATTGTATAAAATTACCCGAACTCAACAAGATGGTCACCAGAGAAACATTTCGTAATATCAAGGTAAGTATCGAGTGTTGCATCTCGTGGCGAATGCTTCATTAATCTAATGTCTTTCCTTGCGCTGGTTTTTTTTTTTTTTTTTTTTTTTTTTTTTTTTTTTTTTTTTTTTATGTAAGAAGTTTTATCGTTATAGGTACTCCTGCGTAGTGACAAGGGTATAGCTAATTTTTCGGATAGATCGCTTCTGAAGAATTTAGGACATTGGCTTGGTATGATGACACTTGGCAGGAATAAACCCATCTTACAGGTATATTATTATTTTTGTAAGTAATACGCGCATATGCATAACACAATCTTATTGACATGTGCTGTACAAACTTTTTCGTTTCTTAATTATCCAATATAGGTAGATATAGATCTGAAAAGTTTACTTGTCGAGGCATATCATAAAGGGCAGCAGGAACTTCTTTATGTGGTACCTTTTGTCGCAAAAGTGCTCGAAGCTTGCGCGAAAAGTCGCGTTTTTCGTCCACCTAATCCCTGGACCATGGCAATTATGAATGTCCTAGCTGAACTTCATCAGGAACCTGAGTTGAAATTGAATTTGAAGTTTGAGATTGAAGTTCTCTGCAAAACTCTAACTATCGATGTTGCGGTTAGTATGCGTTAGACTACTTCGGGTTCGACCTACACTCGACATTGCTCATGAACATTTTTGTTTTTGTGCAGGAATTGAAACCGGTCATCTACTTGAAAGATCCCGAAAAATTGCGCAACATCGAGTATCAATTGTCGCAGCCAAATAAAAAATCTGAAGCTTCGAATAATCAACAGCAGTCTCAGGGTCCTATAGAAGAACTGGTAGGTCCGACAACTAGTGGTGCCATTGTCCCTCAGACTGCTCCTCCTGCGAATACGACACCTTCGTTACCAACTGGTCCGCCTGAACCGCGATTTAATTACATGGATATATCTATATCTGGCATCGCTAACATATCTTCACATATTACTTTCAACAGTCAAGTATGTGGCAAATCTTATTTCTGTTGAAAAAAAGAAAAACGATATGATCTAATTTTAAGAAAGGCACGAATATAATTCATACAATGTGTACATATGTATGTATTTTTCAGTTACCTTTTTTTCAAGCGCATCCGCATCTGAAGCAATTTATTCGTCCAGCGATCGAACGAGCGATTCAGGAATGGATTCACCCGGTCGTCGATCGTTCGATGAAGATTGCTATAACGACCAGCGAACAAATCGTAAGAAAAGACTTTGCGTTGGACCCGGAAGAAATGCGAATGCGAACAGCAGCACGTCATATGGTGCGCAATCTGACCGCTGGCATGGCTATGATCACGTGTCGCGATCAGGTAAGACAAGACGAGGTAAGGCTCATTTGAGAAAGACAATCTCAGATAAGTATATTAATGATAAATATATTATCATTCATGTCATTCATGGTTGTGTGTCATTCATGATTGTTTGATTGATTTGTCATTCATGGTTGTGTGTATCAGATCAGACTAAGTTTCGATATAATATTTTGCCTTTGACGATAAACCGGTTCCTGCGATAGATAGCGTAGTGTCGGGAAAACGTTAATAAAGGATCATAGATAACGATAGTTATTTCGCTCGATTGTCAGAGAATTTCCACTAAACACAGTAAAGTTAACTAGTAATTGAAGAAAATTTGGAACTTTACTAATTTCTATTTCTACTACTACTAGCTCCTAACATCGATCAGCGCGAACCTGAAACAATCATTCCACGCGGCGATGATCGCCTCGACTCAGCAGCAGAAAGAAGTCGCTGAACAAGCGGCAAACTTAGTCGCTGCCGAGAACATGGAGCTTGCATGCGCCTTCGTACAGAAGACTGCTATGGAGAAAGCGATACCGGAAATGGATAAACGGCTCTTGAACGAGATAGAGTTGCGTAAGATTGCTCGACAAGAAGGAAGAAGATATTGTGATCACCTCGCCAAATACCAAGCGGAGAGAATGCCAGAACAAATTAGACTGAAGATTGGCGGTGTCACGCCACAACAGATGGCGGTTTATGAGGAATTTGCCAGGAACATTCCAGGATTCCTCCCACTATCTGAACGAGATACACAAGCCCTCTTCATGCCAAAACCTGCTACCGTAAGAGTCGTTTTTGTTGATTTCAATCGTATCTGAAAGTTTGAATTTCTATTAGTGAAAACTGATTTCGTTTCTCTTTTATCCTGCAGGATACCACTGTTACCTCCTATGTTGCAAATCCGGCTGTGGCAGTTGCAACGGCGCAGCAAGTCGCTGCCTATGCAACGGCATCGGCGGTCAGCAATGATGAAGTCGGTGCTATGCTGGAGAAACTCATCGCTGAAGTGGAGATTTTATTGAGTGCTATGGGTCCCGCGACACCTCCTTCTCAACATGCTACTCTTCACAGTCTTCTTGAGTCGATCATTCTTACTAGACGATCGAGAGACGCTGGTACAGCAATGACACTTTTGAAGAAGGTTGGTTGTTATGTGCTTCGAACTTGTTGACAAGTCCCTAACTAGATAAGTCGCTGTAATTGTAGCACAGAATTCATTGATTGCGTTATCTTGTTTAGACTGTCGAAAGCCTACTAGATGGTCCTACGATCTCTAGTGGTGTCATCGATTCAGAGGTTGTGTTGCGATACAGAGACATGCACTTACGCATTCTGAAGTGTCTTCAAGATCCACGCGCCTATGGTATGCAGTGGACTAATAAACACGTTACTCGTTGTTTAATCGAAAGCAGAGAGGAATTTCGATATAACTTCGAAGGTGTAGACTGTCTTATAAGGTACGAGAAATATGATAAAGTAACTTGAATATAACTTGAATAAATCTCTATAAAATATGATATAATCCTGAACCATCTTCCTTGATAGTCGATTAAAAGACACGATGGGCGATATAATTTTGCAGGTCTCATCTAGTTAGTCTTCCTCAATATGACGTAGCATTGGCGCAAGCCGTGGAAGCAGGAAGCGCCTTGGCAACAGCATTTGCTATGCAACTGGTTCAACTATATTTGATCGACGAGAGACAGACAACTCATGTTACGGAATCTGATTTGTTTCACACGATCGAGATACTCGCTCGCATGGCTCATCACAGAGCTCCGCCAGAGGGGTGAGTATATTAAAACTTCATCGTTTGTCGGTTTGTCGGTTAACTGGCCGCTGATGTTTATTATATGTTGCAAACATTTTTTTTATCCGCTATATATTATATCGACAGGTTGAGACTAATATTCCAATGCTATTGTGCTTGTCACTGCTGTCAAGTTTCATTGTTATACTTACTATCATTAATGTTTTTTCCAGTATCTTGCTTTACCGACTTACAAGCCTAATAGATTCTTTGCGCGCCAATCACGACCCCGGTATATTGGTAGATAGACCTCCTGCTGGACCGACCGCGCACATTCACTCTGGAATCCTGCAGGTGAGAGTAAGTAGATTGTCAAGGTATCTTTCCTCTTAGCAATGCTCACGATCATACACGGTGATGGTAACCATCGTGTGTTGTCCAATCGCAGGCTCGCGATTTCGACGATCCACCCGGATTGATGGACAAAACGGAGTATCTGTTGCGCGAGTGGGTCTCCATGTACCACAATCCTACGCACGCGCGCGATCCCACGAAGGCGTTCAGCATCTTCGTGCACCAAATGAACATTCATGGTATCCTCAAGACTGACGACCTCATCACCCGATTCTTCAAACTGAGTACCCAGATGTGCGTCGATCTTTGTTATCGTGCTCTCGCTGAGTCTGCCGCGGCACCGTCGCTCGTTCGCGCTAAATGCTTCCACTCGTTGGACGCGTTCGTGCGTCTTGTCGCGCTGTTGGTGAAGCACTCGGGCGACACCACCAATACGCACACCAAGATCAACCTCTTGAACAAAGTGCTCGGTATCGTTGCCGGTGTGCTGCTGCAAGATCACGAAATGCGCAATACTGACTTTCAGCAGTTGCCATATCACAGAATCTTCATCATGCTGTTTTTGGAATTGTGTGCGCCCGAGCCTGTGTTGGAGGCCGTGAACTATCAAGTACTGATGGCCTACTGTCATACGCTGCACATACTGCGCCCAGCGAAGGCGTCTGGTTTCTGCTACGCTTGGCTGGAACTGGTCTCGCACCGGGTGTTCATCGGCCGTATGCTGGCCATTACGCCGCAGCAGAAGTGCTGGGGCATGTACGCGCAATTGCTCATAGATCTGTTCAAATACCTCGCGCCCTATCTACGCAACGCTGAGCTCGCCAAGCCTGTGACTCTCCTGTACAAGGGCACGCTCCGTGTGTTGCTGGTGTTGCTGCACGACTTCCCGGAGTTCCTGTGCGACTATCACTATGGATTTTGCGACGTGATACCGCCCAACTGCATACAGATGAGAAATCTCATTCTGAGCGCATTTCCTAGAAACATGCGCCTGCCCGATCCATTCACGCCAAATCTTAAGGTCGACATGCTGCAGGAGATTGCGCACGCACCGCGAGTCCTCACAAATTTTGCGTCTACGATACAGCCATTAACATTCAAGAAGGAGCTAGATTCTTATCTGAAGGCTCGCGCGCCGGTCACCTTCTTGTCCGAGTTGCGCAGCAATTTGCAGGTATCGCAAGAGGCTGGAGTACGTTACAATATTCAACTGATGAACGCGTTGGTGTTGTACGTGGGCACGCAAGCTATCGCGTTCATTCGCAGCAAAGGCCACGCGCCCAACATGTCCACGATTGCGCATTCCGCGCACATGGACATCTTCCAGAATCTGGCTGTCGACCTCGACACAGAGGGCCGGTATTTGTTTTTGAACGCTATAGCGAACCAGCTGCGATATCCCAATAGTCACACACATTACTTCAGCTGTACGCTCCTTTATCTGTTCGCCGAAGCGAACACAGAAGCGATACAAGAACAGATCACCAGGGTTCTCCTCGAGAGGCTCATCGTCAACAGACCACACCCGTGGGGCCTTCTCATCACCTTCATCGAGCTCATCAAGAACCCGACATATAAATTTTGGACGCACGAATTTGTACATTGCGCGCCTGAAATCGAGAAGTAAGTAACAATTTTATATTGCTGAAACGCAAAAACACACTTGTGTGTGTATTCGCGTCTCACATCTAGCTGAATGCGGTTTGTTCAAGGCGATTTGTTCAAGGTGGTTTGACTGTTTGATCAAGGAGGTTCTAACGTTTGACCAGATAAAAGATAAACCTATAATAAGCACACGATACAAACATTAATAACTAAATTTATTGGTAAATATAAAAGACGTATATATTTATATCATCATTATTATGTACAAAATTATATAGATTAATTTAACTCGTTCATTCGTTTATGCTGTTAGGACTTGGATCACAAGAATCTCTGTGAATTTTTCTTCGACCGAATCAGTGGTTTTCGAGTGTGTATATAACTTTGTCCTTTTTCGTTTTTCAGGTTATTTGAGTCTGTGGCTAGATCGTGTATGGTGCAAAAACAAGTACAGCCCACGCCTGAGCCGGAGATTCCAGAGTGATAAAGTCTTTCTCTGTCACTATATATATGTACATACATTATATAAGTATATATATGTATGTATGTATGTGTGTATATATCATATTTATATATATATATGTATGTATGTATATATATATATATATATATAAATGTGTGTTTATGCGCGTGCGTGTACAGTAAAATAAAAGTAAATTCGTATATATAAGAATCGCGTGTAAAAAATTATTAATGTAAGAATAGACTTGTAATATTAAGTTCTTATAGCAAATATATCGATTAATCATATATTAAGTATATCAATTCATAAGTAGTGTATAAGTAAAGATAATTATTGTGTTAATATTTTAATAAAAGGAACTCTTGCCATCAACTCGGATAGCAACTCGGACACATTTCTTGACTTACATAATGTGTCTTTAGCACAATTGCATTCTGCAGCATGTATGGCATAAGCAGGTATCGTACAAATCGCACGACGCAAATGTTTCACCATATATATACACTGCAGACATAGTGTGTATGTGTATATATATATTCGAGTCATTCGTAGTCGTTATGGTAAAGCTTCTGAAGGAGTTCGCCGACAACAAAATGTGTTCGCGAAAGTTCAAGGTTAACCGTCATTGCCAGCTAAAATTGGAAGAGTTGGCAGTGCAAGTCCCAAAAACGCTGAATATACTGTTTATTTTTATGGTACAGAAAATAGTTATATATACATACATATGCAACGAGCAGAAGCTTAATGGTTATCCTGTTTAGTTAGAGATTATTTTCGAATGCGTACAATAATATCTCAAAGAAACCTGTGACATAATGATATATAGCGATGTAGTGTAATATATGAATGTCATTTTTTAAACACAAGCATAGTTATAGCCGAAGATGAATAATATACATGATTGATCCAACGTAACATCTAACGATGTCCTTTATTCTATGAAATTTTTACTGTGATTTTTAGATCTCTTAATATAGTGTAACACTTCTGAGTTTGGTATTTATATTAAATAATTTAGTAAAACTATATATATATATATACATTTATGTATATGTGTGTATACACACACATATACACAGTTTGTATACACATCATTTCGTGATCATTCGCGAAGAATCACTATACGGGTTGCTGATCGCGCGTAGCATGATAAGCGTCTCTCTCTTTGTCGGGAAACTTCGTCGGTAAATTCGGACTGTGCAAGTGGCACTTCGCAGAGTACATGATTCCAGCGACATTCACTTCGTAATGTCCCGACAACACGTATTCGTTCGTCACCTCCTGCGGCTGACCCTTCGAGTCCAAGTTTTGCACAAATCCGAGACACACCTACGAATTGCCATTCGACATTTTATTCTCTCCGAGGAGAAGATACCAATAATACTCTCATAGATCCACCGATACTTATCATCTCGTTTTCTTTCGCAACGGGAATGTACAAAGGCAGAGAAATTCGATTTTCACCTGTTTCCTGAACGTGAATCCGTAACCCGTGGTTGTCGTCATTCCGCAATACTTCCCGTTTCGGTAAATAGGCTCACCGCCCCAACACCATGTATCGAACTCAACATCGTGATCGTTTAATAATAACTGCACGTATTTGCGTTTGACTCCTTGCTCGCGCTGCCTTAGGAGAGCGTCCCTGCCAATGAAGTCGACTTCTTTCTACAAAATAAAAATAATGTCTCTAAAAGTGAAATAAATTTAAACCAATCATCACATTTCTTTTCTTTCTTTTTTTCGCGTACGATGAATCGTTAAAAATTTCTGGTTTCGTTTTCAACTCATCCTCACATCAAATTTCACTCGCCAGGATCTTCCACATTCCAAAGGAGTGGTGAATGTATCCAAGTCTTGTCCCCAAAATGCGTAGAATTTTTCCACTCGCAAGGCTCGCGTCGCGTAATAACCAGCGTGTTTCATTCCGTACTTTGCCCCGGCGTCTATCAGCCTCGTATACACGTGTAACGCGAACTAAAATAAAGGAATATGTAGTCTCTCGCAAATTAAAAATATGATTCATAAGCCGAGAAAAATTGTTTCGGGCGAAATAATTAACTTAGAAACAACAGGAACGCGAAGTAACATCGATCATTCACACGGAGTAGAACTGTTACCTCATTTGGGATGTACAGCACGTAGCCAAGTTCTCCGGTGTGCGTTAGGTTCATTGTACGAATACCGTTAGCAAGCCCGACGTCTAACTCCTTAAACGTAAAGAACGGAAAGTTTTTTGGATTCAGATCTATGTCCGTCAGTTCGGTTAATAATTGCCTAGTCGCGGGGCCCATTATGCAGATTGCGGTATAAGCTGACGTTACGTCGGACACAGCGACAGAGCCGTCCGCCGGCAAATGTCGGTGTATCCAATGTTTGCAACGAGTCTGCTGAATCGTGGGGGCAATCATCATATAGCTGAAAAAATGTTTTCCTATTAAATCTGCCCGATTCATTGCAAGCGACGCGAATCTACTATTTGCTGCGACTTACTGATTCGGCGCGATTCGTGCTAAGCTGCAGTCATTTTCATAGCCGCCACGATGATTCTGCATGCCGGTATGAATAATACTTCCTACGGGCACATCCACATCGTTGGAGCACAAATATTGTAGTAAATCCACTACTTCCGTATCGTTTGACTAAAAGGAGGCGTTACACAAAATAACATATAGAATACTTGATTGTAGTTATATTTTTTCTATGATTTACATCGATCGCCTAATATACGTGTAAACGGATTGCTAATCGGTGTAAATCAGCAGTATATTATTTGAGAATATCCTCTCATAAACAAATCACATTACCCATAAGTCGATTTTGGTGAAAGAGGAGTAATCGCTCAAACCGATTGCCTCTCTGCAAGCGGCATATTCCTGCGAGACCTGGTCGAACCAAGGAGGCTTGCCAAAGGTGTTTGTGTAAGCCACCTTATATCTTTGAAACCCATTGGGAAATTCCAGATCTAATAAAATGTAATTATTATACAGAAATATACTTTAAAGCTCGTAAATCTACCGTAATATCGGTCGTAACGCTCGACGACACTCTGGCTTTGAAACAACCAATCAGATTCATCGATCATATAATTCTCTCTCAAAATAATGATTATTTTGTTTCGTGATTTTTGTTACTCTGAGAAAAATGGTGAAAAGTGGCGATGAAAACATTCCCTTTAATGATGTCGAAGAGGAGGAAGAAAACATTTGGATTATAACCGATATTACGATAGATATAGATGGATCCTTACAAAGCAATATGAAACATCGTGATTTGTGTGAGTTACCGTCATCGTCCGGCTGAAACCAGGATGGTCTCTCGTAGCCCATGACTTGGCCGAAAACGGCGCCCGCATCTCGAAGTTTCGGATAGATCGGAGACATCCTCAAGTTCCTGCCGGTTTTAAACTCGTGATGCGGATATTGCAGCGCGTAATGCATCCCGGGTACCTCTCGCACTCGATCGCGTAAGAATTTGCGATTGTTATGCAATCCGAGGAAACGTGAGACATCCAACTCGTACATGTCCAATGATGTCGAACTATTGACTATCAACTCCGCCGTGGCACGACCGACTCCGCCGGCAGCGGATATCCCGACCTTTAAGAAGCATCATCTATGAGGTATATCTTCAATTTTCCTCTAATTGATCGATCTACCAACCGTTTTCATTCCGGCTGCGATGTAATAATTACGTATTTCAGGAGCCTCCCCCATGATCCATTTGCAATCCGGAGAGAACGCCTCGGGCCCGTTGCAGAGTCTCTCCAGGACCGCATTTCCTAAACTCGGAATTCTGTGTAACATCTGCTCCAGCAAGATATGGAAGTGATCCCAATCCTCCGGTAAAAATCGCTTGTCTTTGTTTTCTAAAATTACATTGATAAAAATTCTTGATCAGACATTGGTAAACATACCAGCATAACATCAAAATACAAAGCGATTGATAAATTAGTTGCAATAAGCAAACAGTTGCGTTTTGGCAGGAATTAATTAACAATGTTACAAAAAACAAATTTACATCTGCATATCTGACCAGGAATTATGCCATCTTCAAACGCTGGTTTTGCCACCGGTTCAAAGCCACCAGCTAACAAACGCCCATTATTCTCTCGAAAGTAAATATATCCATCTAAATCGCGTATGACGGGCGTCATGGGATCTAAATTAGTGATAGGCTTGGTGTGCATGTAGTAATGTTCTACTGGATGAAGTGGTACCTGCAAGATAATGAATAATATATCATCTTTCTGTTTTAATTTTTATGCTAATATTATTCTCATAAACATCTTACCATGAACTGACCTTTACATATGGCTCACTCAGTTTACCCACACTCCGTGCCCAGAATCCAGCACAGTTGACAAAATGCTTGCATTTGACAGTACCATGTGTTGTTTCTACTGCTTCTACTTGACCATTTTGGTTAATAACTTTTTTAACTGCACAATTTTCATATACCACAACACCTAAAATAAAGAAAATAATAAAAAATATTGCAAATTAAAATTTATTTATGAATATTTTAATCTGAAAAAATATAGCACCTCTTTTTTGCGCTTCTTGAACTAGAGTTAAACAAATCTGATAGGGATCACCTACACCATCTCCAGGAATCCATAATCCTCCAACAAGATCATCAATATGTAGTAGTGGACATAAATTCTTAATTTCTTCTGGTGAGACTAAGTGGCACTCAATGTCACATGATCTTGGATATATCAATAAAGTTAAAATATAACGAATGATTATTATAATATATAGCTTCTCACATGTATTAGATATTTACACAGATTGTGCCTTCATTCGCCTAAATGTGGTCATACGATCTCTTGTACGTGCCAAGGAAAGACTACCACATTGTTTCCATCCTGTTGTAAGACCTTTTTTCTCCAATTCCTTATACAGAGCAATACTGTCTTGAGCAAGTTTAACTTGAGCTATACTGGGCTTGAAAGCTCCTACTAATCCTGATGTGTGCCATGTTGTTCCACCTCCTAGTCTAACAATAAAATGGAGACATAAATTTTCTGTTGTAATTTCTTAAAAAATATATATAAAGTTATAAAATATATAGATATATAAATGTATAAATGTATATCTGTAGCCATAGTTCAAACTTGAACTACAGCGTTATCGGATTGGATTTGATATAAACATATATATATAAAGTTAAAAATATTTATATGTACCTATCACTTTCTACTAAAATAGTCTCTGATCCTAATCCCATAAGGGATAAATGGTATGCCACAGCACCTCCCATAACTCCACCTCCACATATGACAACTCTTGCTTCCTTAGGAAGTGCATATTCTGGATCCTCAGAGACTATATCAGTGGATTTCAAAGCTACTCCTGCTGTTTTATAACTGCTGGAGAAAATACTTCTCTTTTGTACTACGTATCTATTGTAAAACAGTTTGGAATATCTCCACATCTTAACTGATTAAAATAAAGTACGCCTAGTCTTCTATTACGATCCCTGAGTTAAAAGTACAAGTGCATCTTTATTAGAGATCTTTCTTTCTTTCTCTCTTTCTCTCTCTCTCTCTCTCTCTCTCTCTCTCTCTCTCTCTCTCTCTCTCTCTATTTCTTGAGCAATTCTATGATATATTTATTGTACTCGACACTTTATTAGTAATTATAACTGTTATTGAAAGGTTAAAATAATATTATAGTGGAAAAGTTTGGTTTTTAGAATACGCACTGAAATTTTTACGCTCTTCATGTGAACTGAGCTTGAAGAAGCAGAGAACAATTTTTACAGAGGTCATCTTTCTTATTAAACCTCATTGTCTATGGCGATCGACCGTATCCGCCATTTGCAGTCGTTTGCTCGCGTTCATTTTCTTGGATTTTACGTCGGCTTCCTCTGCATCGTTGTGAGTACATTGTATTGGTAAGCAAGCTCTGATTTTTTCGTATCACGAAAGTAAATGAAATTGAAGTCTATTCAGTATCATGTTTCGTAAATATAACACGTATAAACCCTAGCACTTGCGGTTGCTTGGAAATTCTTAAGATTTTTCACACGAGCGTTATCCGCCACGTTGCTTTGGCGAAGGTTTCGCGCAAAACAATATAATTACATTATATATATATATATACACATATGTAGATGTCCGTTACTGTATCTCCTACATTATCTTTCCTGTCTGAATGTAGAGCATTACAAGTACGATGTCGTTCAATCGAGGAGTGAAAAGAGATTCCTTCGGAAATCGAGGGAATTTCAATCGGGGCAATAATGGGGGCGGCGGTGGCAACAACAATAGACTCAATAATATGGGCAATAGCGGCATGGGAAATAATATGGGTGGAGGAATGAGCGGAGGCGGCATGGGTGGAATGAATCCTTGGGAAGGTGGTATGATGCCTGGCAGAGGAATCTTACCTACTCCCAACAACAATCTTTCTCTAGCATCACCGCAGGCACAACTTGCAATTGCCAGCAATCTTTTGACAAACTTGCTTCGTAGTCAGCAGGAAGTGCAACCTCAGGTATAAGAATATACTTACTTGAAAGCTATCTTTGTGTATATATGTAGAGATTATCTTGATTTATTGTTATATATCTAAATAGGTGCCATCTCTCATGAGCCTTGGAAACAACTTCTCTGGACCAGGACCAAACTATTCTAATCAACAGAACTTTTCCTCGGGACGGTTTAATGATCGACCTGCGCGACATGGTTTGAAAAATCAACGTCAACAGCCATATAACAAGGTAAGTGAGCCTTGCACAATATATTTATGTTTTTCCCAAGCAGGCGTTATTGTAAAAAGAAACTTCTCTTAACACTTTTGCTTTATGAACATCTGGTATCGTCAGCAGGAGCTGTAAAATGAGAATTTATGATCCAGGCTTCCTCGCTTGGATGCATACTTCTTAACTATTCTGTATGTTTACGAATTTCTCTTCTCGTGGCGACCAACAATTGATCGATTAAATGGGATTTGAATCGTTCATTCGATTAGACACAACCAGCGGAATCATTAAGATATATAATTCTTGTTGAAGGATCAGCCTTAAATCCGAGATGACTCCTACCTAGGAGCCACTAGATATCATTCGAAGCTAATGTATTTCAGCAAAAAAGTGCACTGTTGAAAGACGTGTGTTGATTTCAGAAAGAGTAATTCTCAGATTTGTTACTACCGAAAACTCGCCGGAGGTTCTTTTCGCGCGGAGCGAGTGCGAATGGGTGACGTTGTAACTCGTCTTACAGCCCGTAAAACCCGAGTCTTCTGTCTCCCACCAATTTTTACACGACCATTAAAACCGGATGCGGTTACTACACTTTATTCAAAACTGCTACTGCTACTATCGCTTACTTACGCAAGAGTTGCAGATTTCACTTGACTTAGCTTCTTCTTCACGTTGATTAGTATTCACTGACTTTTGCTCGAGTACTTTGTAGTGGATTTAATTACGTCTACTTTTGCGAAACTATGATCGAGCCCTATTTGATCGTTGCCGTTGCGTACATACACGATGTGCATCTTCGACTCGAGATCGGGATGCACTTTCCAACACGGTTTCCCCCCCCTCACCCCCCCACCCCCGGCTGTTCCTAACGCATCTGTGATGCGGAGAACGGAAAAGACCTACGTACAGTACGTCTCTCACCGGCATATACGTCCTGCTTCCACATTATCGACTACAACTGTTTTCTCCCTCAAATCCCCAATGGTTTTCTATAGAACCAAGCTCGATTTGAGAAGAATCACAGTTACGTCAGATACTTCTCTCATGATGCTTTTGGTCATTTGACCGATCAAACAACTGACTAGATGGGCAATCGCGCCCGAGACGGCCCTGCTGGGCGACGTGGTCCGTCCGCACAACAATCTCGTGCGCCCCAGTCCGGCAGTCAACGTATGAACGGAAACCAAATCCAACATCGCAACGATAAGTCTTCTAAACCAATTCCTGCCTCTAAACAAAATCAGACTGCCAAAAAGGAACAGCAGGACGTTAAGACCTCTGATAGTGAAAAAGCAGAGCCGCCTGTTCCGAAAAGGTAAGCCGCCGATTATCTGTGATCGGTAATAGTTTCTTCAAAAGAAAAAAGAAAAAATTTTCATTCTCACTCCGAGTTACTATTTTGCCTATTGTATGTACATGTATATGTATATACATATATATATATGTATATGTACACATAAATACATTTTACATACGTGTCTCTTAATGTATAATTACACATATGTACGTTTATAATTATACCGCAGTTCTCGGAAATTTTTCTCTCTCTTTCTCTCTCTCTTTCTCTCTTTCTCTTTTTCTCTCTCTCTCTCTCTCTCTATATGTATCTTTCAATTTATTACGATGCACTCTTTTTTCTTGTACCGTTGATGCGATTCGATTCTCACATTTCACGCCCAGAAACAACCACACGTTGGCCAAGGTGCTAAAAAATTTCCGTTCCGACTAATTGTTTTTTTCGTAATATCCTCATCCTGTACGTTTTGACGGGAAGCGTGCCAAATCGGCGAGAATACCGTTTGTTGTCTGTACGTCTCTAACAGGACGTACAGAGTCGCATCCTCCTAAAGTGTTTCTACACAAGCATCAGTCCAATTTTCGTCATTGTTATCGACAAGATTTCGTGTACGTGAACATTGTAAATTGTCCAACCTATTATACGCAATTAAATTCGTGATCACATCTGTAAATTAAAGTTCAATATCGAGTTTAACGTAAATGTGGTCAACTGTTGGGATCGACATTATGAAATAATCTCCGGAATGTTAATAAAACTTTATCCTAGAGTATATTATTTGTGATACTGCAGTGAAAACGTGGAAGAGACCGAGGATAAGAAACACGATTGGAAGGATGAGAAGGAGACGGAGGAGGTGAAGATAAAAGTGGAGGAGGAAGGTGAGAAAACGATGGATGCTGACGCGAGCATGGAACAGTCCGCCGCTGCGGAAGACGCGTCGAAGGACGCGAACACGTCCTCGAGCGAGAAGGACGCGAAAACGATCGGCAAGAAATCGGAGGCTAGACACGCCGAGAGTCGTTACGCCGAGGTTCCGATGAACCACATGTTTTGTCATATCTGCAACAAGCATATGTGGGACGGATATGTATGTATCGACGCGATAAACAGATTTCTACGAACGCTTGTTCGAACAGTTAATACTAATCATCATCGCATTTCTTCGCAGTCCTTCGAGAATCATCTGCGCGGACGTGCGCATCAACTGATGATGGAGAAATTGGATGAATCTTACAAACTGAAAGTCGATCTGATGCGACACGAACTGCGTGTTGCCGAGGAACAACGGGAGCTTAGCTTGAACAACTCGAAACGTCGTGGGAAGAAAGTAAGATCTGTATTCTTCTCCAGGAAACCCTCAAAGATGCATTCGCTCACACCGTACCTGTACTTATAAATTTTCGATTACAGGTCTCTGTAGATTTCAACGTCAGGGAGTACTGTACGATGTGCGACTTGAATTTCTATGGGACTTTGTCTACACACAGGAAGAGTGAAAAGCATCAGCAATTGAAAACTTTCTTGCATCCACGGTGTTTCCCCTGTCTGAAAGAATTTCCGTCTCGTATAGAGTACGACGAGCACTGCTTGACACCCGCTCACATGAAGAACGCTGTTCAGTGTGAGGAACAACGGAAAAATAAGAAGAAAGGTAATCGACGTAACGATAAAGAGACAGACTGATTTGATAAGAGAAAAAAAGTCGATAAAACGACATTTTGCAGAAAAACTAGCAAAGGGAGAAGCCGAAGTACGTAGCGCGGAAGACGAGGAAAAGGACGTCTGGCATGATACGAAGAATGAGAAGGAAGACGATTCCGGAGAACAAGAATATATCACGGATATCACGGAAAATATGAGCGATACTAAGTACAAGATTCCGTCTTATAAGTATTGCCGTCAGAAGCAGATAGGCGTTGGTAAGAATTGCAGGATAATAATGACTTTCGAGAATCATTCGCACGTAGTTATATTATTTCTAATAATGATTGTGTTACATTATTCAGGCAGATCAATGATCAAAGAAGTGCAAGGATTTTATTGCGAACGTTGCCGACGATTCATGCTCTTGGAAGATGATATGAACGCTCATTTACGCAGTATCACTCACTACCGAAACTTCTTGGCGGATGTAAAGTCGTTAACATCAAACGCCGCAGCTGCAGAGTCGAAGGAAACCAAGCAAAGCGAGGTAAGCGACAACCTCACGCGGGAGCAATAACGACATGACGTAGAAAAGCTCGTTTTCGAGGTTTATTAAGATTATATCTTTGCTCATATAGAATGAGAAAACTACTGATCAAGCTCCGGAGGAGTATGAAGAAAATTGGAAACGTTGCAAGATTTCTCACGACGAGGAGGAGAATGACGACAGCCTGCGAGAGCCGCAGGAAACACAAGAGAACGTCGCCGATAACACAATCGCGCCGAAAAAGTCAGACGGAGAGGAAAAGTACGACCCATTGGAGGCCGATGCCGAATCCGAGGAGGATGAAATGAATCGTGAGCCGGAAACGGAAATGAAGGACACGACACAGAACGCTTCCAACGGACAGGAGAAAAAGACACCGATCGACGAGATGTGGACGGACGCTGACAACGACGATGCAGAGATGGGTAATTTGATCGACGAAACGGATGAGAAGGATCATATGGATCAAGAGAAATCCATGCAAAAGATAGAACGTAATTTTAATCCGCCAAAAATGTCACGAGGACGCGGATTCGTACGCGGTCGTGGCGGTCCGCGTGCTAGAAGATCTCGACGATAAGATGACGCGGTTCGATCTGCAAAAATACGAAAGTATAAAGAGGGCGCGGAAAATGCGTCAGAGCTGGTAGAAGCTAGATGGGCATTTTCCGTGCTGTTATAAGTCCTAATGGTATGAATTATACAAAGCATGTGAACATTTTTATTGTCGAAGCATATTTAGACACGTGTAATATGCGTATGTTATATTCACGTGGGTTACATGTGTAGTTACATGCGTAAACTCTATCTTGTAAGCGACCTATCTTACTCTTATTGTATAACGAAAGAAGAGAAAAAAAATGTCGGAGTCATCATGTAGAAGTCTAGACTACTGTTAGTAATCGTTACTTGTCTCATAAGGTTTAATTCGTTACCTTACAATTACAAACCAGAGACTTGTAGATTATGATCTAAATGAAACGCATACACACACCAGTTATATTAACGTGGATGTTTCTTTTTGTGTTTCAAACTGAAATAATTATACTTATGAATTTGTACATCGTGAAACGGTCAATTCTTTTCCTGGCACGTGCTCAAAAAGAATAAAATTATAAGACACACAACGGGTTAATGATTGCCATTGACACGTATATGGCGCTAATTTACATGAATTGTTGGGAACTACATGTAATTGCAAGGGTTATTTGTGGGTATCATGTGTGGACAAATGCGTACAGTACTAACAGCAAGATCAGGATATATGTAATGTGTATGTATGCATGCGGGTATGTGTGTGTGTGTGTGTGTGTGTGTGCGCGTGTGTGTGTGTATGTGTGTGTAAAGGAATAAATTGATTGAGATCGAAATTTAAGCATGAAAATAATTATACAAAGGTGCAATGTAATCGTACATAAACTGACACAATGCCTTAACGTTTAACAATACACTTGGCTTCAACTCGGCTCGGTTTGGATACTTTTTGGGTACAGTTCGGTAAATGTCCAATAAAGCAATTTTTTTTCCTTTTTTTTTCGAATAATTCCCAGACATTAAATTTTCTTATCGGTCATCGACTCTTTTCCAACTTACATCGAGAAAAAGTTGCAACTAAATTTGTAGAAATAAGTAGGATTTCTTAGTCCCTCGCATTACGTTGACATATTTGTACATTATGACTGTTGTTTCTTCAAGAAAACGACAACGATATATTTGAATTATTTAGATTAATAAAATTATAATATTCTAATTCTAATATTAAATAAAATTATATAACATTTTCTTTTCTAATATTCTATTCTATTCTATTCTAATATTAGTAATATTGTTATAAATATCCACATTTGTATTGATATTTATATTGATATACAAATATTCATATTTATGTTAATATTTGTATATTGGTATAAATATTGATGATATACAAATTTTACATATTAAAAAAATAATATATGCCATATTATACTTTGTTGAATAATCAACTATTATGATGCACAAATATATATAGACAGTGCGTATGATTGAAAAATTCTGGTTAGGAAATCCTATGCCTAAAATGTTAAGGATATTATGTCTATCTGTGTATGTAATATCAGATTTACATGATTATCATTTCATTCTTTATGTATTGATACGAATATTCTTACAAATTCTTTGATATGTTAGAAATTTCCAAAAGAATCACTTTATACATTGTGAGTTTTACGACTACAAAAAAAATATCAATATTGAATATTTCAAATTATATATATATCATTTCGCGTCAGTTCACGAATTTCGCGACATCCACATATTGAAGTTGTACGAAACTGATGATGCTTATGAAAAAAATGCTTGATATACATTTCCAATTTTATAATTTACTTCAACATAATCTCGTGTGATAATTTTCATAATGTAATGGATGAAGGATTTTTGTATTCAGACAAAAAATCGCAATTGGACTGTGTTCTTATTATTTAGTAATAAGACATTTTCCTCAAAGAAGAATCTTTTTGTATTCTACTTCATGGTATGGAAATAAATTACTAAGCAGAAGCCTTTGAGAAATTTTGAGCATAACACTATATGTTTAGGTTCAACATAGTGTTGTATGTATGATAAAATGAGTCAGGTAAATGTGAAAGACAGTACAATGTGACTTGCAGAATATTTATGCATATATATTCATATAATAATTTCAATAGAAAAAATTAAGTATATCAATAGAATATATGTCTTAACTTTACTAATCTTTAGAAAGATGAGTTGATAGAAATTCATCTACAGAGTCTGTGTCCCACTTGTGTATATCTAGAATATCTTCAACTCTATTTTCCACATTATACAATTTGATTATCGGATCTAAACCCCTTACATACTTTATACTAAGGTTCTTATATTTCTTTGGTCTGTCACTTTTGATGAAAGCTGAAAGAGATGTATTAGTGTTATATGTAATAATGTATTGAGTAATTCTTAAGTTAAAGATAATTGTCAGTTCAAGTGTATACCTTGTATTTGTGGATATGCACCAAATTTGCACGTACACACTTCAAGAACAGCCTTAGGATAGCGTTTTGATCCAGACAAGTCATAATCATTATCTTTCAAACAACATTCCTTGCATGTAGCACTATTGCAAAGAAGAAATAAAGAACGAAATTTCTGTAAACTTGATTTTTGGATATTTCTAATAAAGGTAATCTATTTCTACATACGTTATCTTTGCTAGATCAGATTCTGCAAAATATTCACAGGTTGAGCAGAGTAGATTGGCTTTATTAAATCCTAACATTTTGCAATCATCTGCAGAAAATTCTGCTATTACATTGTTCACCTGTAACATGTATTATGTCAGGATCATTATATTACAGAAATATCTTAAGAAATTATTTCTTAGGCTTAAGTTATATATCCTTAAATTTGTATTATATATGATTTATATATATTTATATATATATATATGGATTGAAAATATGAATTATTTACAAAAATATAGATACAAACATATAATTATAGTTTGTCATACATTTAAAAATTGTTTTTACTCACCATAGCGAAGATTGAAAGTAAAAATATATATGGTAAGAAATGCATTCTGTAGTATTTCGTGCGCTTAATTATTGAAATTTTTATTCAACTTAAGCGCAAAATTTAAATTGAAACATACACGATACAAAATAACCGGCATATATATATGAAAAGTTTTTATAATGTTAATCTTGTTTTATAACCTTGCACTAGTATTCTTTTCCTCTTTTCCCAAGTTTTAGTTGTACTAATAAAAGTAGTTTCTGTTAACCGGCAGAGTTATTAGTTGAAATTGCTATTGAAGAAGAAATTGAAACAGAAATTACTGCGATAGACTACTTGAAACATTATAATTATTTCCTTAGGGACCCTTATAAATACTTGTCAGGGGTTCTAATCTCTTATGCATTCCGATATACCAGCGTCTGTGGCGCACTAGCCGTGTGACGCCCAAAGTAGAACTAAAAACCAATATGGCAGATATATACAATCCGACATATGTACAAGATACGCACGATACGCACTCGTTAAATTTGTGAAAATGTTTTTCTGAAACATTGTATATTTGCTGGAGATCAATGGAAACACCCTTATGGATACAATTATAATTAGAATTTTAGTCTATGTTATCCAAAGATGAGTATTGACTATCAAACCAATTAAATGAGGCTGCTGCTTCGTAACATGTCAGTGATCCGTAATACTATATTTATATTTGGCAGATTAATCTATTGTATAAATAATAATAATAATATAAATAGGATTTGTGTTTTCTTGTTATTTATTGTAATCCTAAAAATATATAGGATATATATGTATATGTAGAGAGAGAAAGAGCGGCCATATTGGTTTTTAGTTCTACTTTGGGTGTCATACAGCAAGAGCGCCACAAACGCTAGTACATTGAAATACATGGGAGATTGGAACCCCTGCGGCGAAGGCGTCACAAACGCTGGTACCAGAGAGAAACCTGAAAATGGCCAACACGGCATTTTCTACGACACCGACTTTCCGCACTGGGAAAGGACGCCATCTGCATTCATTTTGAGAGGGGAACTACAATACTACATCCACTTTCAGGTCTCGGTGGTAAAATCTGCATGCGGTGGAAGTCCGTGCTACATTCACTTTCAGGCGGTTTATATCCGTGTTGCAACCACAGTTGCCATCTCTATACCAGACTATGCCCGGAGGTCTAAAAAGAGGGGGGGAGGGGGGGAGGAGCAAGAAAAATAAAAATATGTATTAAATATTAAATCTTTGAATACATGTTGCCGTATCAAAGCCTCCTGTATAATAAACGATTTAACATGTCTGAGGACACATGATGTATCGTTGCCCGCATCCCGTTCCCTTCGTCCTGCTTCTCAATTCAGCATTCCGTCCGCTCCGGTCATTCGCTCGTAGCACTGACAGTGGCCGTCGGTGAACATTCGATTCTCTCGGAGAAGCACGTGTTAATTAACGCGACGAAACTCCGATTATAAATATCCCACGAGTCGACGAAATATCTGAACTTTTAAAAAAAGCATCAAAGAAAATCACGTTGATGTTGTCATGGGTGAAATCTCACCCTGGTATATATTTTTTATTTTCAAAATAAAAAAAGCCAAACGAATGCAATTAAATGTTATTTATCATTATTGAATATTAGATGAAAAGTAGAAGAGTTATTATCCGCAGCGAATAATCTAACATTTAATAAGAACGAGACAAAATTCGCATGGAATGAAATTCCACTCTTTAACGTTACCATGACCTTTAATTATTCTCCAAAAACGGCGTCACAACAACTTTAACACTCTGTACAATTAGTTGCTAACACATTTTCTAATCGTACACATTCCTCTTTAATTAACATAAAGCTAACAAATGTCCGATGCTTCGACAGAGTAATTTTCTTTATTTTCAGTAATCAATAAATAGAGTAAATCAATGTCGCGTACAGTTGAAAGGCCTCCTCGCATTATCCTCGTCGTTCCGGAACCTTCGAGAAAAGAAGAGACGCCCAAGGGCAAATCTCTCTTGCTTCAACTGCCGCCCGTAATGTTTACATCGCGCCGATTGTGTTGATCGGCTCGCGAGCGACACTTTTTACCCTTCGTATTAATACTCGCGTGCCTCGCGTATTCGATCTCATTCCATCAGCAGCAGCCGTGCGCGACGCGCTCGTCATTTCCGTCTCGTGTAATTGAAAGAAATATATCTCGTCGGTCCTCGAGATACTTAATCGGCAACTCGCGTTGATTAACCGCACGGTTAAATCGCGAGTATCAGCATTAGAAGCGTGAGCGAGTGAAATCCGGAGGACTCCAGCAGCCGGGAAGCAGGACGCCGGCAGCGATACGTCCAGTTTCCAGGTATGTGGAATCCATTTATTATGCGGGAGATCTATCGATAACGAAAGCGGACGTTTGACGAATTTTCCGGGAATAAGAAGTCAGAATTTCGCGCTCGGCATTTACGATCCGTCATCATCCGACTAGTAATCATAGACACTTTATGAATCTGCAATTACTCTCGTTAATTTCTGTCTGTCTATCTATTTATTATGTATACAAGAGATATTGATCCAGACAGAGACGGATAACGGTCCATGAACGTGGACCTCTAATTCATCATGTTCTCAATCAAACATTTTGAATCATTCCCAACTGTGTGAATATATCGGTCTTGTGTAGAATATTCAACGTCATACCGCTTCTTAGACTGCGACCTTTTTTGTTTTCGGTCAGCGCTTCTTTCAAGTCTGTTTACTCTCGTTACGGGATCTAAATTTAAATTTCCATTCGTAAAAGAGTATTTTCGCTGTATTTTGTATATTTCATTGTAGAGATCGTAGAAATTCGTAATCGTAATCCGCATTTAATTATGTATTTCTTTATATTGAATTGTCTGTCTAACAATGAGAGTCGACTGTTAAATAGCCATTAAACACTAACAATAACATTACATTAATGCTACAATTCCTCACTCAAAACAGTGTAAGTGTAAATATAACATATCGTATATAACTGCTACATTTTTCAGGAGGAAGTTATGATGTTTATGTATTGTTATTGTTAGTTGGTATTCACTGAGCAATATATTACATGATAAAAATGCGAGACGTAAATATCGAACGCGCGTAAATTAAACGGAATGGCTCAAGTACGTGCTATTGATTAATAATTAATATTGATCATTCATAAACTCAATACTAACTAGAGAGAAACAAATTATTTTTTCCTCGTCGACCCGTTCGATTACAATAATCACTTGTATTTACATATCTTACACAATGTGCGCGTTACATTGGAGAAAATACAAAGGCGCTTTGTAGTCGCCACGAGGAAAACACGCGAATAGAAGTTTTCAATGATGATACGATATATCGCCATGTGTCCTTGTCTTTATTCGAATATTTTCTCAGATCCTTATATACGCACCCGAGATATACTTGATCAAAAATAAAGAGTTATTGATTACGCTTATTGATTAGGACAACCGGTAAAAAAGGCGGATAAATTGGAACGAATATCTTTGTCCAGCCTCTTAATATCTAATCTTAACTCACACGTTTCTCAAAGACGTTAGGGTCCTCAGTCTCCCTTTGTTTCGAGCGAGATTCCGCGCGTTAGATTCTACGAGTCGCGAATACGCGGCAATCAGTTGCGACGAACGCGATCGTCGTCGGTCGTCAACGGCATTGAGGCTCGCATGTCTACGAACGCTACGACACGTCACGAGCATTTTAATAATTTAACATCACAAGTTGAGTCACACATTTGCACTCGACGGCATAGTCGTTTCCATGTTCTAACCCAGTCCTAGGACGTACTTTGGTAGATTGTACGCGAACCTAGGGATGGCCATCACCACCGACATCCTGCAAATCCGAGAAGATTCAGTTACGATGACTTTCTTAGAAGTTTCCACAAGTACTGTTATCTTAGCTGCCACGTGTTTATCGGACCATAAAAAAAGAAAAGTATAATGACAAAACTCTTGCGTCATGTTCAACGAGCGAAAATAAAGAACAGATTTTATCGCACAAAACGCTTCCTTCATTTTCGTGAACCGCGGAAGATGCAACAGTCGGTTGCGACAAATAAACTTTTTATGCCTCTACTTAGATAACGATGGGCAAAACAGAAGTTTTAACGTAATAGCTGATAAGCAGTAAAGCGATTACTAGTCACCCATACAGGTTATTATACTTATCGCTACAATTTGGCAACTAAGATGGTATCTCATTTGAACCGGCCACATAAATTGTATTGTTCATTAATTTTAATGTCGTTTCACTTTTTTAACCGCGATTTTTTTCTTACACTGATTCAGATTGCTTGCATAAGTCGACTTGTACCAATCAATTATTTCATGAAATAATTCGAAAATTTCTTCGCGGATACTTTTGGTGTATTATATTACTGCGGAATTATCATATAACCGGAATAATCATATTATATTATCATATAATATTTATTAATGTTATGTAAATTATATAAATTATATTTATGTATATATGTATACTATAACTATATCAACTATATATCTGTATAAATGTTATGTAAATTGTTATACAGCTTATATTTAAGCGCATTTAAAAGTAATACGCCCAGTTTTTAGACTTTGTGATTTTTAGATTCAATGTTAAACGACTCGTGTTTTCGTCCGAGTTTGACGGAAAAAGACCGTTTGTCCTGCGTCTTTAACAATCGTAACCCGCGAACATTTATTGCGGCTGATTCAAATGCGCGTGTAATAAAGTCAGCTGACAAATTTGCACTTTTGCTACTTACTACAGTACACGTTGTGCGACGATAGAAATCTCAACCACCGTGTTACGCTCCGCCACCAAACAAGGTTACCAATTACAGAGACTTTGTCTATGCACATACAAATTTTGGCGCCTTCCAGCAAGGTGAAACCACATCTAAAACGTCGCTCCTCGTTGATTCGTGAGGTAGGAAAAAGCTCGAAAACTGCACTCGCGTGCAACGTATCGTGAAACAACGGCGATTGCAGTCGATTGCTGATTACAACGTGCTAGTCGCTTCCCAAACAGCACAAAATCTCCAGAGGATATCCTGAGGACGTCTTGAGGACGTTCTTAGGATGTATGGACGTCCTCAGGATGTCTTCGGGATGTCCTTTGGAGATCTGTGCTGCATGGGTTATCGGCCGAAGCTTAGCGTTAAAAATTATTTATAACGTAAACGTGCGCGTCATGTTGGTGAATTGAGAGGCCCGACACCGTTCTCTTTTGTTTGCTATTTTTTATTGAAAAAGTTCTGTTAGGAAAGAACGTATTTACAGGCGTACATGTGTATGTGTGTGCGTTTGTGTAAACATATAAAGCATGCATTATCCGATCGCGATAAGAGGTGTGATCGTGTGTTAAAAAAATTCATAACGCTTTATTCGTGACGCGCGCATTTTTCGCGTTGTCCGCGCATTGGAAGCTAATCAGAACGCGACATGTTTCGCGAAGAAACCTCTGAAACACACGAATCGAACAGCTTCTTCATTATTGATCATCGTTAGTGCTCTGGATTTCTGTCTCTCCCTCTCTCTCTTTCTCTTTCTCTCTCTTTTTATGTTTTTCATGCAGGTGTTACGTAATCACTCGCACACATGCAATATATATGAAGCGATACATCAATAGATGTCTAGGAACTACTAAATGCAGTTTGGTCGACATTCGCTTGTTAGAAATTTTTGGGCTAAATACAGAGCTTAGAGTAAAATCAACATTTACACGTTATCAAGTCTACGTCTTCCTACAGTCTTAAAATTTAAGCCTACATAGTATATCAGTTAATAAATTGTAAACAGAGAAGGAAAACACATATTTTTGGCTCATATTAGTCTAGTGAGAAAATTGGAAGATAGATTGTTATATCTAACGCAAGAAACCAGTGAAGGAGAAAAATGCACGGTTAACACATAGTTTTTAAAATTTCTCGCAACGACCGCTCACGTGATCGAATATATTCGCAGAGATCTACGAATAATTTCGCTTAAGAGAATCGTAATTACTTTTCTGATAAGGCACGAGTGATTCGCAATTTTTCATATAATATTTACTATTGTTATTAATATTGCTTCGTTAACATTGGTCGAAATAGCTGAAAATAAGATAATCAAATCCATGCCTTTGTGATCGCTCAGTTTCCAACGCAAAGACATGTTACCTTGAATGCAAACTAAACAATGAAACAATAATTCTACTATGGAATAACAATTAACTTTTATCGAATAAAAATAACTCAATAACTTCGTCGCAGAGGATTGGAGGATTGGCGGAAACTAAATCACATGTGCGTTCATTTTACATTACAAAAATATAGCTATATCACCACATGGGATGCTAATCATCAAATGATGAGCGTACGTTATCGACACATTGGTAATGAGCAAATTAACAACCGACATTAATAACTAATGTATCAATACAACGATATGTACTGATCGATCAGTCTGTATATCTACTTGTGACCCGTTATCTCAATAATTTCTACAGATTGTTAATGTTTCTTCTGTAGATCCTCTTGTCTCGCAATCAAGCGGGGTTATTTGCATCTAGTACTAATTACATTCGCGATTACAAGGATCCAGACGACTCTTACGACTATTACAGACTATACATATAATCATCAATTTCCGTTGTTAGACTCAGGAAGCTTGAGTAGTTTCGCGTTATCATAATAGCGTCCACCACCTTTCGCGTGCATTCCAAAGAGATTATCGCGAATATAAATGTTACTAATGGAGAAGCGTGCACATCAAACAGATCCGCCGACTGTGCACGCTACGACCGCGCGATCGTCCGTTCCATTCACCTATCCACCCGGAGTTAGTCAACTTCGTTAGTCTCAGTGTTGCCGGAGTAAAGCTGGTACCACAGATCCTTTACGTACGATAATGCGAGGCCCTTGTAGATCCACGCACGCCAACCCGTTCTCGTCTCGACGTCGATCCGCGATTCCAGGCTCTGGCAGAGAGCCTTTCGGTCGTGACTCCTTCCACTCCGCAGGTCGCACAGCAGCCTCTTACGACATTCGTCGTTACACGTTGGTCGCACCGGGGAGTTCTTGTAATAATGCCTACGAAAATTAGAAGCAAATGCGTCGAGGAAATAACTCACCGCTTGCCTTTTCCTCCTAAAACCGCAGAGCAACGCCTTTTTTTACATTCAAATCATGGTGAAACGATGAGTCTTTATGATAATGAAGATTGTAACCGCGCGATCCTTCGCAAGATTATAAACTACGTTCGAAGGACGCAACGTCCCATTTGCCTCTCCTTTCTAAATCTGCGACGAACAATGTTTCTTTTCTACATATGTCCTCTATTTACTTTACGCTATTTTAAATCAAATTAATTAATTAAAAACAACATTTAATCGTCGCGAGTAATACATTCGCGTCGCGAGGATCCTAATCGCGATATCTCGCAAAGTGATGACCTCGCGCGAGGCAATTGTCAAAGTGTATTACTTGTAATAGAGGTCGAAGAGGGCCGGCTCATTGGTCATCTTGTCGATCAGGGAGTCCCAGTCCTTCGGCAAGAGCGACGCCATTTGATAGGCCTGCCGCGCGCTGTACATCTTGTGCCAGATCGGGTAATCGTACAGATTCGCTTCCTTGAGATTCATGACCCAGGTCTCATGGTCGACGACCATTCTCGTGGTTTTCGGATGATCGCCGTCTACGTAGTATATCCTGTAGCCAGGATTGAGATCGTAGTAGGGCGAGACCGAGGGCCCGACGTAGGCAATGCTGAGCGCTCTACCCAAGTCCGACGTGTCGTAAAATAGCTGAAACTCGTCGTAATGCGTGTGCCCGAAGAACTGGGTCACGATGGTCGATTCGTAACTAAATGGAAGCAGAGGAGAGACATTAATCGCATCGTTCTGCTTGCCGTTAACACGTTAACCGCCATGGTGGTCGCATCGCCGCGTCTTCACGGTTTCACGTGTAAAACGTGCCAATCGTGTGCAACGAATTAAATGTACAAGTGATCTTAGTGATTCGAACTTGACTCGAGCATTGAAGTAATCAGTCGAAATCAGCACGGCAGCCAACGAGTTAGACAGTAGATTGCATTTTCATTATCTTGACAGTTTTGACAGCGGCAGACAGCAAGTCAATCCTCTGTCAAGTTTCTTTTTCCTTCAGTAGGAATGATCGAGATACGTGACAGCGACGAGTGCTATGAATATTCCAACACAAAAGTATTGAAAAATGTTTTGACAGAGGACTGACGGAGTCCTGTCTATCACTGTCTAGGGGGACAGTAAAAATCCAGCTTTAGGTTCAGTCTACCATGTAGCAAGACTTTGGTCTTTTGTTCCAAACTCGAAACTATTACGTGACTTCTAGGAAAATGTGTTTTTTATCTTATTGTCAGATTACGTCACAGTTTTGGTTTTAAAGCAAAGAGCGGAAGACTCGCTTTATTGCAGACTTTACGAACTAACACGACGTGGACTTGCGGTTTTGATCGACTACCAACCGGTTGATGATGTGGTAGTAGTTCCTCGACCAGACTTTGAGACAGTCCGAGTGGCCGGGCGGAATATGACCGATTATGTGCACCTTCTCGCCGTTGATCTCGGCGCCCTGCAACTCGTACACGAGCCACTGCAGCTCGCTGACCGGATCGGTGCTGTTGATCAGCAGCCACCAGTTCTTGTTGTTGCAGTAATTCATGTTGACCGAGAGAATCCTGAAGCCCGGTCGCACCAGGACCGAGTAAAACGCCCCGCGGCGGACGGTGTGCGAGACACCGGCCGGCAGCCAGCGTCTCCAGTGTTTGTCGAGCTCGTCATACAGCCACGAGATGCTGTTCTCTTCGGGCACGAAGGGCGGTGGGAAGCTGAAATGAGCAGTCCTTCAGTCTTTCGTCTTCGATGAGGAGACTTAATCGAGAGACGTCGAACATGGAGTTGGAGCTTTTTATAGTAACAGAATGTCGTTATGCATTTGTGTCAACGTTATTCAATGCTCGTCATGTCGCACGTTTATTCATGAAGAGTTGAGATTGCAATTGTGTCTTGAACTTTTCAATATTCAGCCGTGATCGACTGGAAAATGCTCGACGATCGTTTTCATCACGCATTGTCTTATCTCTCTTGCATTATCAAGAGATACTGCTGTGCTCTACCGAATCGGCTTCAGGACGTACAGATATATTTCGAGAGTCAATTCCTACCTGAAATGATTCCCTCCTTTCTCCCGGAAAAGTGAAAGTTGCGGCGCCGAGATGAAATGCAAGCGTGCGCGTATGAACTACGGACGTACCTGTTAACCGGCGCGCTCTCGTGATTTCCCAAGGCCGGAAATATCGGTATGCCTGGAAACATCTCCACCATCTGCGCGACCGTGTCACGCAAAATCTTCAGGTTCTCCTCCCGCGTCTGATTCCACACGTCGTGCGGCGGCAAGTCCCCGGTCCAGAGGATGTAATCGATATCCTGAGCATTTCACGCGCAGTCACAAGATATATACCAATGGAATATTCAGAATGTTCAGTTGTTCTAACTCCTTTGTTATAAATCCTCCTTTGTTATTATAAACTTCGTTATAAACTGCTAATTAAGAGCAAGCGGGAGATCTCTAAAGGCTCGTCTACAATAACTGTAAGAGTAAGGCTGTAAGGCTGTAAAGTAAGCTGTCAACGAATGAAAATATTTCATTTCGTGTCTTGCAACCTTACAGCCTTACTCTTACAGCTAATGTAGACGAGCCTTAAAGTGGAACTTTGACTTTTTCGTTGGAACTTTTTCGTGACGTACGAAGAAAGAAAAATAAACGAGATCGTTAGTAAATCTATGAAAAAAATGGAGAAACTTCTTCGCTTCTTTCATATATATAGTCTTCTTGTATAGTGATGAATTAATCACTCCCTTTCATAATAATAATTAAATAGGAAGAACCGGTACGTGTCGTTAGATTCTTTCCGATCGGCTTTCCGAGCTGGATATTTGCTATAGAAAAACAGTTCCACCGTCGCCATCTCGTTTCCTCCTCTCTCATTTAGCTAGCGCGTTTTAATCAGTGAAGTCTATAATCAGTAAAGTCTGAAGTGAGCCTTCAAGAAGACGAGTATATGCTCCTGGGATCGCTATCTTCATAAGCAAAATGCTGAAGGTAGATAGCCTAACTTATCAGTCCATCTATCAGTCTTCTTCGAGGTTCTCAAACTCCCATGTGTGTTATAATTTAATACATCACATTTCAGTCGCGCTCGATCGACGAACTGTGCTACTCACCGAGTGCGTATCGGCGATATGCTTCAGCATGTGGTCGATCGTCCTCTTCGGCGTGTCGCACTTTCTGTAATCGCCCCATCGACCCGCCGCCGCCGAGGCGGTCAACGCCGCGCCGTTCGTCAATCGGCAGCAGAGGGGCTCGTTGCACTCCGCGTTCGCGCCCTCCTGATAATACGGGTCGTAGTGCGTGTCGGAGATATGCAACACCTTGAAAGTCGGCGCGGCCTCCTGAGGCGGTATGGGCGGCTTGATCGGCGGTTTCTTGACCGGCGGGAAGGCCACCTCCCACTCATGGAGCGGATTGAACGCGTCGTCGCAGGCGTCACCGATCACGAAACTGCAGATCTGAGCCGGGCCCATGCTCACTTGCTTCAGCACGTATATCACCTCCACCTGCGGCATGAATATCGGTCTAACGGACGCGCACGACCCGGGAGAGCTGTTCTTTCATTTCTGATAAAAAAGTAGTCGCGACTGCGAGACGGTTCTCGTTTCTTCGGTCGTGCGAAAATGACGCGAGCGACCTGCGACGCAATTCTTTAACTCGTTATTGGAGTTAACGACAGTTTCGTTACCGTTGCGCAGTTTTTCTACGGTATACAAAAGAGTTAAAGAATCGCACCACTGGCGGGTTTTTGGTTGTTAGTTTGAAAAGGCAACACTATCTCAGGACAGGGAGCGCGAGTCTCTCAGAAACGATCAAATCCATTTCTGACAAATTCCTCAATTTTTTATTTATTCCATATTTTTCCGCTCATTTCTCGTAGTTATCCGTATATTTAGTTATTTCTTATTTTCTCAATTTGTAAAAGTTCACACCATGAGCTGTGACGTTAAAATTAAAAATTTTGCGAAATTTCACGAAAATTTACGCAAAGTGCAGTTTTGATCAGGTTGATCTAAATTAATCTCGGTAATCACCGTTTCCTCGCCCTGAAAGGGACGAGGTAGATCAGAAACTCAGAATATGCGATGCGAATTACCCCGAAGAGTAGAGTGACGCCGTGGCAGACCCGAGCGCTCTGTATGTTGAGCGACACGCAGAACTGATAGATGCTGGCCATGATCTCCTCGTCGCTTTTGCCGGCCTTTATGTAATGCTGTAGCAGGCCGGCGCCGACCTTGCACGCGGTGCAAGATACCTTGGACATCACGGAGGTCTCGACCTCCATCATCACTTGCCTCAGGTCCAGCAGCTTGAGAGCCTTGTCCACGAAGCCGGACAAGTGACCACTCGGCTGTACCGTCTCCATGTCCCACAGCATCCGCGAGTAATTCAGCTGCAAGCAAGACCACGCGCGATCGCGAAATCGCGACGTGAGGGAGCGATCGATCATCGAGATGATCCCAACCGGACACGAGCAATTGTTGTCAAACGTAGCGAATTGTTTAATTAATTGGACATAATCAATCGTTAATTCATTGCGATCCCGTCGCTGGGAAACCTTAACTGCTCGTCACTTGTACCGGCTTCTTCGGTGACGGGTCGCCCTGAGCGCTTCCTTCAAAAGCGGTTTCACCTTCTCTTCTCAGTCCCACACGGAGCAGCAGCCCCCCGGCGATCCTGAATTGTCGTATCACGAGTGTGTGTTTGAATACACACGCGCGGAGATAATTTGTTCCACACGGCGGGTGTTCGTGAAGTCCGATGCAAGAAGCGACAGCGACAAGCGTCGTTGCGCACGGTTAGCTGCGCGTGTGTAATTCCGCGCGTCCTCAGCCGCCGTGGCTTTTGCGAGTTTTAGCAGCAGCCTCGATGGCGGCAGTATCAGCTCATAAATATCCATTTCATCGCCGGTAATTAGTCCGGCTACGCCGCTGAAAATCAGTTGAGCGCGCGAGTCTAACGTGCCGTAACTCGCCGATTCGCGAATTCTCGTCACGTCGCTTTCCATAACTTTCCTCCCGGGCGACTCGACCGGGCGATCGAAAATCGACCGCGCGGCTTTCCGCGAGATCCGTGTCCGCCAGCGATTTCTTTTACGCAAGCGATGACGAACGGTATCGATGATCGGCGCGACTTTCGCGGGCGAAAGTCATTGACACCGTGTATTACGCGTACGCGTGTAAACGAGGCGAATAGAGGCAGGATAGAGGGTACATACTTGCATTCGCGGCGAGACACGTCGGTCGCCACGGTGAAAGTATTTTGGCACTGAAAGTGAGAGCCGGCGACAAGTCGCGTCTCGTCGGGCAAAGACGCACGGGAACTTGAGGAAGGAGAAGAAGGACGACGAGAAGGCGGAGGGAAGGTGGAGGGAAAAGGAACGATGCTTTCCACTTAGCGCGACGCGAGCAGCATCCTACATAGAAAAAATAATTCCATCGATGTAATTGTCCCTTGCGTGGGAAAAGACAGAGGAAAAAGGAAGATTTGTGCAGGAACAGAAAGATTCCTGCGGGAGGACCTCTGCAATCAGTCTGCAATGTCTGTCTCTTTTAATTCTCTTCTAATTGAGAACGAATTGAGATTTTCCGTGTATCTTCCTCACTCATCGAGTGTGCAGCGAAGACGGAGCGACGCTGCCGAAGAAAAGAAAGAACACCACGGGAGAATCTTGTGAAAGGACCATCGGAATCGCGATTGACGCGGCTACGTTCTCGCAGGCGCGATTAGGATATCCTGGCAGCCGCGACGATACGCTGCACGGTGAAACGGCGGGGTCCCATATGGGAAAGTGATTTCTCGCACACGCTCGTCGATTTCGCAGGCGTGCGCATATTGTTCGCGCTTGATTTGGAGAGTCGCGCCTAATCTCCTCGCGAGGCGGAACGATAACACACGGATATATATCGCAGACGGCAGATGAAAGCGCGCCGGGGAACGCCGTTAGAAAGGCCCATCAACGGAGAAAAGCGTCGGGTCGCGCTTGCAATTATATTACTTAATTACACGATTCATCGGGGATTTTTTATTAACCAAGCCGTATTGATGAGCGCTCGACTAAAGCGACTCCGGAGGAAGAGAGAGAAAGAAAGAGGAACACGTGTAGGGCGTGGGGCTGATGGGGGGAGTAGCCGAACATGGAGGCAAGAGTGAAAATGCATCGATTTTGTGTCATTACAAGGCGAAACGAGCGCCGACGGACGTAGAAAGTTTCTTTACGGTCTTCCCTCGTTTCACGGTCGCCGCCGATTCTTCCGATCTAGCCCGGTGACGATCCCCCCGCTGGCGGAGGGGGAAGCGTTTCGTCGCACGGCTATCTGTTTACGGAAGGCGAGACGGCTTCAATCGGCCGGCAGATGCTACTTTTCCTATTAATCGAGTGTGTCGAATGTACTTTCAACGGTCTGATTGCGTCCGGCGCGTAACCACCACTGTCACGCGAAGTAGAAACAGACAGAACTATGTGCGCCCGTCGCGTGTACATCGCCGGTACATTGTCAGCTCCCGAACTTGCGCAATGTACGCGTCGAGGAGCTGCAAGTAATCTGAATGCCTCTCCTCTTAAGACCTCCGGATCTCGGATCTCGGCGTCTGCTCGAATTCATTTTTGGGATTCAGAGAATTATCGAGGGATTAACAAGAGAGGTATGAGTAGCCGTCGCGCGATCATCACGAATTTTTCAAAATCGGATGTCGACATGTTAGATAACGGGAGACTGTTGCCAGGCAACGTCTCGAGATCACATTTCGACGGCGTAATTAGCGCGTTCTTTCTTTCGCGTTTTCTAAAAGCCCAGGCGGTGAGACATCAGCAACATGCCATGCTATTGCCATAAATTTTTACGTCATCTTCCGCGGGAAGAAAAAAATGAGACAAATAAAAGGCACTGTTTACTGCGTCGCTGGTCGGTGAAAGTTTTCAATTGATAACGAAGCAAGAGTCTTGTGCAATCGGCGACTTACGCACGACCGGACCTCCGGAGGAGCGTCCTCGTGCGACCTCGTTTGTCTTGAGCGTCGCACGTGCTCGAGAGAGACACCGATCGGCATGGACCATTTTCGGGATCCATTTGCGATCTATCCGTGCGATCCCGAAATCTCGCGGATTCAAGCCAGGAGTGCTTCAAACGCGCAAACGGGACCCAAAGTCTTCCTGATCTTTTCCCCGGTGGTTTTCGCTTTACATTAATTTTACGTTTCTTTGATTTTACGTTAATTTTGTTTCTTTCAGTTTTACATTAATTTTAGTTCTTCCTATTTTTCATGCTAACGAACACGAAATTACCGGACAGCCAATCACAGTTTAGATCAACTTAGGGACCGTAGATTCTTTTTCTCACCCGTGCCATCTGATCCGAACTCGTGCCGTTAACCACGTAGGTCTCCGTAGCCGCGGTCGGCGGAAGTTCCCTGTATCTCTCGTTGAACGGCAGCAACGCCACGTCCATCCTCTCGGCCGCCCGCGCCTTCGCCGCGATCCACTCGTCGGCCAACGCGGTCCAGTTGGTCGACGCTATCTCCGCTTCCCGTCTCATCCTGTACCGAATGGGATTTCCTACGAGATGCGAAACAGGAGTTATCTGACTGATAATGAACCGAGGAGGCGAGCGACGAGACACGCCAACGCCGTCGCCGTGGCCGGAAAATGCGAGAGCGTCGCCCCTCGTCGTCGTTGCGGCGAGTCCTTCGCTCTGCGCGGACTCGCGGATTCATGAGTGCCGCGAGGCTGATTCCGCGATTCGCGGAAAACGCTTGTTTTCGCCGCTGCGACCGTTTTTGTGCCGGAGGAAAACGACGAGTCACGCGAAGAAGCGAGCTTTACGACGCGAATAATAGCGAATTCGCGCGAATGCAATCTGCGATCGTTCATATTTCTCTTTAGGTATGCACACTCGGAGCACACAACGTGCGTGTTTTCGTTGTATCAAGATGCATGAATATTAAATTTGGATTTCTTGGTTATTGTTCGTCGTAAAATTACCATTTTCTCTTCTAATCAGTATTTAATTATTGTTGAATTATATATTCACATTCTCCTAATTCCTACGCCGACAACTTTGATCTGTAAATGCGACGTCTCAGAATGCGTTCGCAGGAAGCGACTCGGGATTTTCTCGGGAGAGAGCGCGAATTTCGAGAATGAAATCACGCGCGACTCGCGCGGCACGGGACAAATATCCCGTGCGACGAAATGAGACGAGAGGTTTCTTCCATGCTCTCTTCCGAATCGTTCGGGCGACGATGTTGAACTTTCTAGCGAAATAAAAAACAAATGGGCGATCGCCGACGGCGCGGCTCACCGGACCGTTTCGTACGGGTGGAAATGTTTATTTTTCACGCCGCGATTAATCGCGATTCGCCGATCGCGCACTTTCGTGGAAAAGATCGTATCGATAAAGTATGCCGATCTTTCCCGTGAAGGCGTCTCACGGGCTACCCGCGGCACCCGGCGTCAGTCCCGCCTGAAAACCTACAATTTCTCCGTTACGCTCGAAATGGCCCGCTAAAACCTCGCGTTTTCAAGGGAAGTCACATAATTTCCCGCGGACATAATCGATCGAGTCGCATGCAAATCCCAAAGTACTTTCTCGGTAAAAAGAGGTTACGAGGCTGCGCGCCGAGTCGCGCTCTGTTTTGCGACTTAAATCGCCGACGTAATCGACGTTTGATCGATCGAAATTCGCGCGAGCCTGTGAAAAAGGAAAACAAGAATTCAGGCTCATCACGTTGCGTCGTAATCCTGTCAACCTCTCGCGTTTTCATTACGCAAGCCGCCATTTATCCCGATAGCAGATCGTTGTGGCTTTTGTTACGCAGTTCGTTCCGCGTTTCGCGTGTCTCTCGGTATTCCGGTCGATTAACGAGAACGAGCGCCGCGGGTGTTAGCGTCGCTCCCGCGAAAAGAATTATATCGTTACGGAGGGTTTCGGAGAGAAACTCCGGACTCAGGTCGGTCCACGTAACGAAACGGTCCACGTAGCGAGGTGTGTGCATACGTACCGGCAATCACCCATATCGAAGTGCTCAGGTACAACAGGAGGAGGCAACTCGACGATATCCTGTCTTGACTTGGCATGCTATTTCCTACTCTTTGGTATCGTTGCCTGCAATCACAGAGGGAAAGCAATGGATATTGGATATCACAATTGTAATTCTGACAGTCAGTCCAATTATATAATCCTCACGTTAAGATATATCGCCGCGCAAGTGTCGCTCAAACATAACAAGCGCTAATTATGTCGGGAGATCCTCATTTAATATAAACTCACATCGGTGGGCAAGATTTCGCGCGGAAGGTAGACCTGAGAAGGACGCAACTTGCCTCTCTTGCCGCACAGTTTATCGACGATACTTTGAAAATGCGACTGTAAAGACGAAGGCGAGAAATTGGTAATTACTCAGGGAATTTTCTTTTTTCGTAAATTGTAACAATTGCACGATATGTATCACTCGCTCGCGTGACATGATCCACGTGAACCTACCTACATTAAAATTTCGACGATTTATCTCACCGAATGGAAGGCGCCGCGCGGCGCGCCAGTGATTTTTGTTAACGTTACTGCGCCCTTTGCCAACAATAGTAGCAAAGTCGATGCCGAGGCAAAGGAAACGAGCCTCGATCGCGAATCCCCGAGCGCGCTCGCTACGCGTGAAAATGTCCACTGCGAGGTTGCGCAGCGGTTGAAAAGTGCGATTAATAGCCGCGCGGGTTCTTGCGAAAGGCGCGGCATGCGTGCGATTTCGACGAGGAGGAGGGGGAAAGGAGGGAGAATCTGCATTCGGCGAAGCGTAACTTGCACTTTCCTCGGCGCGAACGAGACGTCGAAAATAGCGGCTCCGGCGCGCGCGAGGAAGCAGGAAACGGCGCGGGTTTTCGCGGTCGCGCGAAAGCGTCTTGTCCGTCGCGACGCGCGGCTTTTCCTGTCGCGCGCGCCGCGAAAACGAGCGGCGATTTATTCCCGCCCGAACGGTGTCACTGTTACAGCACTCGGAACTTTTGGGCATACCGGAGCTCGTCCGTTATACTGTTGCCCGGCAATAAGTGGGTCAGCAACGGAGGCACGAAGGCACGTCGCGTCGCCGCCCGTCCCGCGAACGCGTCCTTCGAACGCGTAAGAAATAACGACGATCCTCGCTAGATCGGCTAGACATCGACGACGACACGACGAACCCGTCGTGCGACACGGAGAAGTTAACGGAACTGCGCGTAAAAATTCGCCTGAATTATCGCGTCGGATTTCAGAATATAGCGGATAACGGAAACCCACAGAGCGAGCGAGCGATTTTGGATATTTTTCTGGCTCGCTGGAGCACGGAATCTTCACTTCTCGCTCTCGCCTTTGGCTTTAAACACGTTTGCTACATTCACGTTATTTTTTATTTATCTATCTATTTATTTATTTATTTATTTATTTTTTATTTATTCTCAGCGAAACTGAACAGAATCGTCGGCGATAGCATTTGTATTTTCCATTGACATTCCGTTCGTTCCGTCTCCGCTCCGATGAGCGCGCTCGGAACAGGCAGGGCGAGAAGAACAAGAAACGAAAGCGGTTAAATATTTAAACATTTCCCACGAGGGCCTCGATTGGCAAATAGCGCCGGGCAATTTGGCAAATGGAACGTGATACGCAGCGAGGGATTCGTCGCGAGCGGGTCACGCGATTTCGCGAATCACCGATTTCATTGTTACTCGGCACTGAAAGATCGAGCGCTGAAAGCGGCCGAAACGGAAATGAGTTACACAGCCGCGACGGACGTTCGGAATGAATGAATTACGCTGGATGAATTACACCACGGTCGGCGCACACGCACGTGCGTGTCAAGGCCACACTCATGCAGCGCGTCTTGGGACGCAATGCTCTGGCGCAATGCCAGGAGCAGCATCCGCGATTCTCCGCGCGACTGTTCTCTCGCGGAGAAGCCCGACCTCTCGTCTTAAAGGAGAAAATGAAGAAGGCAGCAATTGAAGAAGCGCGCTTTAACGTAAGGCGACGTGCGTGCAGCATTCACGAGCAGCGTCGTCGCGAGGATGACCATGCGGGACTTCTTCGTGCGTTTCTCGTTGTAATATCTCTCGTTGCGCTCGCTCGTGCGATTCCAAGCATGATTAGCAGCTTCGATCGTTTTCAGCTGTGTTACTTCCTCAGCGAGAAAGTCAGAGATGTGGATCAAAGTTCGCGGCGGCGTTTTAAGGCATCGAGAGCTACGTGCGTGTCGCTACGCCAATTAAATTTCACGGCTAATTATTGAACCCCGTCGCGGGGTCGCAGTGGGTCAGTGGGATCGGTTTCGGCGAAAGTCGCGCGAAACTTCCGCTGTATCCGCGACGCGGTGCGACTCGAACTTCCGGATATCTTCTGGCTTGTTTATCGGCGTTCTCTCCATTCCTGGCTCCATCGCCTCGACGGTCGCCTATTGCGAACTCACGTCGGAGACATCGAAGTTGATGTTAAAATAACAGATCTTAGGCACGAACTTGGGCGGCTCATTAAACACACGAAGCGTTTTCCTCTTCGACGAGTGTACATTCTCGCTCCCAAGGGATTCCCAAGACAAAGTGAAACCACAGGTTTTCAGCAGCGACGGCCGACTGGCCGTCTTCGCGGATCGAAGCGCTTGTAACGTTAATTCAAGCGATCTCCTCTTGTTTTCGTCTAATTAATTGTCGAGAGAAACGCGCGTCTGATTGCGTCCGCGAGCGTTGTTGCGATGATACCACTGTACTTATTTATCCTCCCATCAGCAAGCTGAATTTTGACAAGAAAGACATCTCAAGTTTCTCCCTCGGCACGCCGGTGATCCGCGCGGAAATCGTTCTCGAATTTCCGTCTGCGCTCTCAAATTGCCGCGTCGACGCAGTGCGACCGAGGTGCGAGCAGAACACCGGCCAAGTAGAATACGCGGCTGACCGTTATCTGACCCACCGCGAGGGCCCCACGAAAGAAGACTCACTTAAGCTCATTGCGCACGAATTTACGCGAGTGCAACGTACGAGCATCGCGAGCGGCGCGCAGCGTCTAGCGAGGATTACGAGCGATAAAACGGCCACCGAACGTCGCGTCGCGCCTCCACCATATATTTCCACGTGGCCCTCCACTTGTCGCCACGCTCGTCGAGACGTCGTCGCGCGATTCGGCTCGCAACGCGGATATTGCGTTTTTTCGCGACACGCGTGAATTCGCTTCGGATTGTCAGACGCTAATTAAAACCTCCGTCCTGCTCGCGAGTTAGAAACGAAATTTCTCCGCGCCAACCGCGCACCCGCGCGCGACTGACTGCGGAACCGGTTCGCCGAGGAAATCTGTCGACGAACCGTTGTTTTTCGAGCGCGAGCAGAGAGGATATTTTTAGTCCGTGCGCCGGTCTTCTCTCGACCGGCGACGAAGAACGCTTGGTGACTCAAATTTTCAGTGCAAGTTCTCAAGATATTCGAGCGGCAAACAGATGCATCTCGTGCAAGATAACTCGATTGTTAAAGAAACGAAGGACATCTTATCAGGATGCACGTGTCGATCCCCCCGAGAAGCAAAGTTGCTCATGCGTCGTACGCGTCGTACTTGAAGTACGAAATTTATGGTCGACCTCAGCGGTGAAGAGCGGTGAAGAGACTTCCGTTCTTTTAATCGGCGATGAAACGCACTTTTTTCCCTTCCACGTATCCTGCGAGAGAGCGAAGAGCCTACTCATCCGCGTGACTCCTCAAACTTTCGCGGCACCCTCCGCCTGCTTCCGGCGAGTCGCGCGCGTTACTTCCTCAAAACCGACGCGACAAGAGCCGGCGATTAATGTTGTTGATAGGCGCGCGCGAGCGCTTCCTACATCTCTTTCTCAATGCTAATGATCGCGGATATGCGACCTTCTCCCGCTCAATGTTACGCCGAACGAAAGTCACTATCACCACCGCGATACATGAGCGCGACCGCGCGCGCGCGAGAGAGAGAGAGAGAGAGAGAGAGGGACGCGACGCGCGTAACAAGTTTACGATTTGTTCCCGCACGAATGGCACTCGTACGAGAATCAGGTAAAAAAGGAAGGAAGGACCAAAAACAAATACATCGGCGCGATATGAATGGCCGCGCGCGCGCGCGCGTGGATAATTTACAGCGCGTGAAACTGGCGCTGTGCCACATATGCCGTGCGGCTCTCCTCGATCGGAGGATGAAAGTCGGCGGAGGGTATCGGAGGAATTCGTCGGGGCAGCTTGTATCGTGTCGAGTCCGACAGCTGCGAGATGCGAGGAAGGAGATATCCTTTTGAGGTAAAAGCCGTTCGGCTGGTTGATACAGACGGGAGGTTACGGAAATAACTCGCCTCGGATTCTGAACGCGCGCTCTCGCGGATTTTCAGCAGAGCGAAGACCGCGCGAGGACTCGGGGGAAACCTCCTTCCGTCGGGCTCATGATATCTCCAAGATATCGGACAGATCGTCGGATCGGACGGAGAAGCTGCGAAGCAGCTTTGTAACCTGAAAGAACGCAGGAAGAAGAGTCGCTCGGATGGAAAGAAGACGGAGGGGAAAAAAATCGAAAACGCGGCTCGCTCATCTCCGTCGCGGCCGTCACCACTTTCTGCGACTTTCCAAATCGAAATATTCGCACGGTGACATCACTGGTCCACTTTCGTCACTCCGCGCGGCCGATTATGCGCGTAACGCACGCGGCTCGCGTGCTCACGAAGCTGCGCGATTTCTCGCGAGCGCGTCCATCTCCTTTATATCTTTCCCGAGTGCGTGATATCCCGGCGCGGTGCGACACGGCTGATCCACTTTCGTCATCATCAGCTGGCCGGCGCTCGCCGGCTGTGATTTTCCATTTACAAAGTTCCAGTTTTCGCGGCCGACTCGGGAAATGGGACTTTCCGCGCCTGTGTGCTCGCGGCGCTCGCGTCCGCTTCTTCACTTTCCACCGGGGATCATTGTGCGCCGCGGCGGCCGCGTGATTAGAGGGATCCACTTTCGTCCATTGGTGCTTAAGGTCGCCGCCGGCGTAATTTACGGAGTCTTTACGGAGCCCCGTAATCCATCGGCCGGAATTTCAGGAAGCGTTGCCGCCGCTCGTTTCTTTCTTCTGTTTTCTAATGATGCGAGATCGAGACACTTCGCCGGCCCGAGTAATAATAATAACCTGAGTTAATTGCGTTTGAGGAAATTGCATAGGTTTCTCGGATCGTTCTTATCGCGACGTAGTAATAATTTTTGTGAATTATATTATTATATTTTCTCTGCTTCTCGCGGCAGTCATCTGGTCGTTACGGTGCTGACACTCTACGCGATATGGCGAGACAATTTATCTCGTTTAGCGACGGTAGTTTTTCCGTAGACATCGTTCTTGGCTTTCTTCAATGGTGATTCTTTTTACC